ATGTCCAGGTTGCAGGCTCAGTCTCCAGTAGGGAGTGTGCAGGAGGCAGCCAATTAATTGATGTTTCTCTCTTACATCAATGTTTCTGTCTTTCTCTCTAAAAAGGCAATAAAAACAAACTTGAAAGAAAGAGCAGATGAAATTCAAGAAAATAGAAAAAGGTAAATAAAAGTCAAAGTGGAGATTAATGAAATAGATGAGAGAGAAGAAAAAAAAAAAAAAAAACAGAAAAATAAATGAAACCAAGAGCTGATTTGTCAAGAATATCAATAAAATGGATACACCTCTAGCCAGACTGATGGGAAAAAAAGACCCAAATTACTCATTGAAAATGAGAGAGGTGGCAGTCCTACAGATTTTACAGATATTGAAAGGTAAGGTAATATTATGAATTCAACACATAGAAGTGGAAAATTTTCTTTCAAAGCTCACACAAGAAGAAATAAGTAACATTTCTTAGGAATATTTCATTTGTAGTTACTAAACTTCCCACACACAAATATTACACCCAGGTGGCTCCACTGGTGAAATCTACAAAACTTTTAAGGAAAAAACATCACCAATTCTATGCAAATTTCCAGAAAATTGAATAGGAAGGAATACTTTCAACTCATTTTATGACACGAGCTTTACTGTGATAACCCCAACCAAAGATAAGAAAGCTGCATACCCATATCCCTTATGAACATAGATGCGATGCCACCCAGCTGGTGTGGCTCAGTGATTGAGCATTGACCAAGAGGTCGCTGGTTTTAATTCCTGGTCAGGGCACTTGCCCAGGTTGTGGGCCTGATCCCCAGTGCGGGGGTATGCAGGAGGCAGCCAATCAATTTCTCTCTCATTGTGTGTCTATCTCTCTCCCTCTCTCTCTAAAATCAATAAACAAAAAAAAATATTTAAAAAAAGGTGCAGTGCAAAATCTTAGCAAGATTTTAGCCATTAGAATGCAACAGTATATAAACAGAGTAATGGCCGGTTTGGCTCAGCGGTTAGAGCATCGACTTGCGGTCCAGAGAGACCCAGGTTCGGTTCCCGCTAAGGGCACGTACCTCCGTTGCAGTTTGTCCTGGGCCCTGGCTGGGTCATGTGGGTGGCAGCCACTCGATGTGTCCCTTTCACGTCAATGCTTCCCTCTCTCTTTCTCTCTCCCTCCCAGTCTATATTAACAAAAAAATGGAAAAATGTCCTCGGGTGAGGATTAAAAAAAAAAAGGGTAATACTTTATGGCCAAGTGGATTTCATTTTCGGAATGCAGGCTTGGAAATCAATCAGTGCAATTCACTATATTAACAACAAAAAAGATTAGCCATGTGTTCACCTCAGTAGATACGGAAAAAGCATTTGACCAAATTCAATATCCAGCCCAAGCTGCTGTGGCTCAATTGGTTGAACATTGACCCATGCACCGAAAGGTCAAAGGTTTGATTTCCAGTCCAGGAATATAACCCAGGGTGCAGGTTCAATCCCCAGACCCGGTGAATGCATGCATGAGGCAACGAATGGATCAATGTTTCTCTCATCTCTCCCTCTCCCTCTCAAAAAAAAAAGAAAATCCCTATGTGTTTCTGATAAAAGCTTTCAGCAAACTTAGAATAGAAGAAAATGCCCTTGACCCAATAAAAGTCATCTTATAAAAAAAACTTACCATTGGCTTCAGACTTAATGGTGAATAAAAAGACTTTTCCCCCTAAGATCAGAAAGATTTCCTTTGTCACCAGTGTACTAGAGGTTCTAGCCAGTGCAGTAAGATAAGAAGAAGAAACAAAAGGTATCCAGAATGAGAAGGAAGAAGTAAAGCTTCCCTTACTCACCAACAGCAGTATCAAACTTTATAGGAAATCCTGTGATACCTACCAAAATACTATTGAAATTAAAAAGTAGGTGTAGTAAGGTTTTAGGATATAAGATTGATATTAAGAATCAATTGTGGGCCCTGGCCGGTTTGGCTCAGCGGTTAGAGCGTCGGCCTGCGGTCTGGAGAGACCCGGGTTCGGTTCCCGCTAAGGGCATGTACCTCCGTTGCAGTTTGTCCCCGGCCCTGGTTGGTCGTGCGGGTGGCAGCCACACACATCGATGTTTCTCTCCTCTCCCTCTGTTCCTTTCTCTCCCTCCCACTCTACTTGAACAAAAAATGGAAAAATGTCCTCGGGTGAGGATAAAAAAAAAAAAAAAGAAAAAGAATCAATTGTGGCCCTGGCCGGTTTGGCTTAGCGGTTGGAGCGTCGGCCTGCGGACCAGAGAGTCCTGGGTTTGGTTCCCTCTAGGGGCACGTACCAAAAACATAAATAAATAAATAAATAAATAAAACCTAGTTTTAAAAAAAAAAAAAATCAGTTGTGTTTCCATATGCCATCGATGAACAATTGAAAATCAAAATTTAAAAAGCTGTACCATTGCAGTAGAAATTTTGACATACTGAAGCAGAAATCTGACAAAAGCAGTGACATATCTATATACTGATACCTATAAAACATTGCTGAGAAATAATTAAATAACTAAATAAATGGAAAAACTTACTGTTTTCATGGATTAGAAAACTCCATATATATATATATATATATATATATATTTTTTTTTTTATCCTCACCCGAGGACATTTTTCCATTTTTTGTTCAGACAGAGTGGGAGGGAGAGAGAGAAAAACATCAATGTGAAAGGGACACATCGAGTGGCCTCCACCTGCACGACCTTCCAGGACTGGGGACAAATGCAACCGAGGTACGTGCCCTTAGCGGGAACCGAACCCGGGTCTCTGAACCGCAGGCCGACGCTCTAACTGCTGAGCCAAACTGGCCAGGGCAAGACTCCATATTTTAAAGAGATCAGTTATCTCTAAATTGTTAGATGCAATGTCATCCCAATAAAAATCCTAGCAGACTTTTTTATAAAATTGTCGATCTCATTCTAATATTCACATGGAAATGCAAAGGACCTAGCCAAACAGCTTTGAAAAAAAAAGTTACAAGGTTTATATTATGTAGTTTGCTTATTTTAAAACTTCAGTAATCAAGGCAGTCTGGCATTGGCAAAAAGATAGAGCGTTGCAATAAATTTGAGCATCCAGAAATAGACCTAAAAGTAGTTCAGAGTGGCATTGACCTAAATGGCAACACTAGAAAGTAGAAGAAATCTTGAGGTGAAAAACATTTTCAACTTAAATGTATTTATAGTAAAAAATTACCAAGGAGCCTTGGCCAGTTTGGCTCAGCGGTTAGAGCATCAGCCCGTGGACCAGAGAGTCCCCAGTTTGGTTTCCACTAAGGGCACATACCTCAGGTAAGGATTAAAAAAAAAATAAAATTACCAAAGAGTATCCTGGCCACTTTGACTCAGCGGTTAGAATGTTGGCCCATGGACCAGAGACTTGTGGGTTCGATTCTGGTCAAGGGCACATGCTTTGGTTGTGGTTTGGTCTCCGGCCCTGATCGAGGTGCAGGAGGCAACTGGTGGCAGTCAGTCGATGTGTCTCTCTCACATCCATGATTCATTCTTTCTCCCTTTGTCCCCCCCACTATCTGAGGATAAATGGAAAAATATCCTTGGGTGAAGATTTTAAAAAATAAAATTACCAAGGGGTAAACTAAGAGGAGGAAAAACACAGCATCCAGAAATAGATTCTAGCACAGGACAAAGGTGAAGGAGGGTGCTAGGACAACAGCTGTACCAGAAGCCTAGGCATAAACTATTACTGATAAGAACAGGGATCTGGGTCCTGGCAGGTTTGGCTCAGCAGTTAGAGCATTGGTCTGCGGTCCAGAGAGACCCGGGTTCGGTTTTCGCTAGGGGCATGTACCTCGGTTGCAGGTTGTCCTGGGCCCTGGGTTGGTCGTGCGGGAGGCAGCCACTCGATGTGTCCCTTTCATGTCGATGTTTCTCTCTCTCTCCCTCCCACTCTATCTGAACAAAAAATGAAAAAATGTCCTAGTGTGAGGATTAAAAAAAAAGAACAGGTATCGGGGAGCAAGGTGGCTAGTAAAAATAAAAAAGGGACTGATATGTTTGAATTTACAGAGAACATTGATAGTTGTGTAGTAGAAACGTTGCAAAAATAATTGATGGAACCACAGAAAAACAGGGAAACTTTAAAATGTGGCAGTTATTAACTTCAGTAAAAAGGAAAGTTTAGAGTTGCACAAAAAAGGTGGTGTGAACTTTGTAAACTACTTTGTCTATACAGCATATATCATCTTCATAGTAATGTAAATTGTTCTTTCTGGATGAGTATAGCCAAATGGAAATAAGATTTGATTGACATTTTTCACATTGGTTAGTATATGAGATTGTAGGCCTTTACTTATTTTTAAATTTTTATTGATTGATTGATTTTAGAGAGAGAGAGAGAGAGAGAAACATCGATTTTGTTGTTCGCTTATCCATGTATTCATTGGTTGCTTCTTGTATGTGCCCTGACCAGGGATCTAACCTGAAACCTTGGTGTATCAGGACAATGCTCTAACCAACTGAGTTACCTGGTCAGGGCCAAGATGTAGGCCTGTGCCTTGGGCCCTTTAATCAGGCCTCTTTATTTTTTATTTATTTATTTTAATTTTTTTTTTTTCTTTATTGATTTTAGAGAGAGAGGAAGGGAGAGGAAGAGAGAGATAGAAACATCAATGAGAGAGAACATGGATTGGCTGCCTCCTGCACGCCCCCCACTGGGGATTTGGCCCACAACCTGGGCATGTGCCCTGACCAGGAATTGAACTAGCAACCTCTTGGTGCATGGATCAGTGCTCAACCACCAAGCCACACCGACCGGGCTATCAGGCCTCTTTAATCTGGACACTGTCTGGTTTTCCTCACCCCAGATTGATGACAGGATTAGTTACTGTACTTCCTTTATCAGTTTTCTATCTGTCATTTTCTTTAGGGGAAATCTCTTTTCTAGAATAATTCTGTTCCTAATATGTTTTAGGAAAAATATAAACATGATTTTGAGTACCTTTATTTATTTTGTTTAAATAGGCTGATTTTTTTTTTTTTTTTTAAACGCCCTTTAGGAAGTAGGAAGAAAGAGAAGGAACGGCCAGAAATTTCTCCTCCATCAGATTTTGAGCACACCATCCATGTTGGCTTTGATGCTGTTACTGGAGAGTTCACTGTAAGTTTACCTAGTTGGGACTCATTTTTATATCATCACTTAAGCTTTTCCATTCAGTAGTAAGTTTGAAGTTAACTTTCCTATCCACATATTAACTGTGAATCCTTAGTGCTTTTCTTTTCTTCTGAAAGTGTTTGTGGATAGATGTATTTTGTTCCTAGGGAGCTGGGACTATTAATTACAGTTATTGCAAAATAGATTTAGATAAACACATCTTTAGAAAACTAGAACTTTTAGAATTTAGTCAAACCTGTAGTTGTGTAGATTGATTTATGTATTTCATCATTCACCTGTGGAAATTGATTTTATTAGAGCAACTCAAAACAACTGATTTCTGACTGTCTTATTTTCAGGGCATGCCAGAACAGTGGGCTCGATTGTTACAGACTTCCAATATCACCAAACTAGAGCAAAAGAAGAATCCTCAGGCTGTGCTGGATGTCTTAAAGTTCTATGACTCCAACACAGTGAAACAGAAGTATCTGAGCTTTACTCCTCCAGGTAAGACATCGATCAGTTGTAATTCAAATGAGATTGCAGAGTTGTAAAGCTATTCTAGATAAATAGATTGCTTCTAGAGAAAAAAAAAGAAATAAGCTATGGTTTTTGTCTCTGTTTTATTCCCTTGCATAGATCTACCTTTAATAAACTGATTAGAGTAGCTCTTATGCATAATTTAGAGTCTGGGGAGTATATTAATCTCTTAGTTTTCACAAAAGTGGATGTTTTGGCCTTTTGTTTGTTTTTTTCTCTTTACTTCTTTTTTTTTTAATTTATTTTTTTAATTTTATTTTTGTTACAGATGTTTCTCCTTTTTTACCCCATTGGTACCCTCCTCCCTATCCCCCCCTGCCCCATCCCCAGCTTTGTTTTCCATGTCCATTGGTTATGCATACATGCATATAAGTTCTGTGGTTTATCTCTTCCCACCCCCCACCTCCCCCTGGTGTGGGATGGGGGACCCCTCACTCCTCAGGGAGGACCTTCACAGTTGAGGTAGCCTCCTGATTTTTATCGGCCACAGGTGGGTGTGGTACCAGCTTATCAGCTCCTCTGCCCCTCTTACCAGTCTCGATGTGACTTCTTTAATTTCATAGTTGTAGGACTTTGATTCAGTTTGACTTCAGGTGGTCTGAATGCTGATTGTTCTATAGTTTAGTTGTAATTTTGATGTGATTGTAGGAGGAGGAGGATACTGTATTTATCTAGGCCTCCATCTTCCAGATTTTCTTCTGAAACTGACAATTTTACTTAATTTGATTGTATCATCAGAGAAATAGAGACCACTTGGCAAATTATTTTGACTTAGTCTAGTACATTCTTAGCAAAAGGTTGTACTTGTCCCAAGAACTTTTCTGTCAACCAGTAAATCTGTATAAATTAGTAATCTTTTTTTTAAAATCAGTGTTTGACCAGAAAATGGTGTATTTCATATAAGTAAAACAAAACACAACTTATTCTTTTAAACTCCAGAATGAGTTTTTTTAAAATATGTTTTTATTGATTTTACAGACACAGGAAAGGGGAGGGGGAGAGAAACATCTATTAGCTGCCTCCTGCACTCCCCCTACTGGGGGTGGAGCCCGAAACCAGGGCATGTGCCCTGACCAGAAATTGAACCAGCAACTTTTTGAATGACACCACACCTGCCAGAGCCAGAATGAGTATTTTAACATTTGGTCTTTATGAACTGATTTTGCCTTCAGGGATTTGCTTTCATACTGATCACAATTTATGTCAGGAATTGTCCTTTGCATACGTTGTCTGCATGATTGCTTTAAGTTTTTCAGTAAGCAACTTTCTGGAGAAAGTATTATTGTGAATAAACTTCTGTTTTGTTTAATAAATACAGATTGGCAGGTATAGTTTTTAGTAATTTTATTAAGGTATAATTTACATGCTATAAAATTCACCCATTTGAAGTATACAATTCAATGATTTTAGTAAATTTACATTAAGATTGAAGCTTTGTTGACTCGGTTTTATATAAATTGTTTGAATATTGATATTGTCATTCTTCTCAAGACTTAATTCAACTTAAAATCTGTGTAAGCATTTTACTTGATTTGCTTTCTATTATTTTTTTTTTTTTAGACATTTTATTTTTGCAGTTATTAACTTAGCATTTTCTGTTTCATACTTAGAGAAAGATGGCTTCGCTTCTGGAACACCAGCAGTGAGTTAATATGTTATTTCTTATAGCTCTTGTTCTAATTTAAGTTACCCAAAACAAATTTCAGTTTTTACTTTGCTTTCTAAAATAAATTACAGTCATCAGAAATAAATACTTAATATATGTTTTAACTAGCCACTTGATTTGTTGAGGAAGCCATGTTAAGCAAATAGACTATGCTTGATATACTCAAAGTGACTAAAACGTACTATGCTCTACAGCAGTTTAGCTACTTTTGGTAATATTCCCTTATATAAACATGAATACAAAGAACTTGCTAGCCTTTTCCTCTGGCACCGTTCTACTGAACATAGAGTATGGAAGCATACTTAATAACAGAGAAGCTTGTCAGTCTTCAGAGTTGACTGAAACTCTAAGTTATCAGTAAGCACAGTTACCTCTTGCAAAGTCACTGTTTTATTTTTAATTGCTAAATTAGAAGGAAACAGTCTCCTGGAATTATTTGAAGATTAAATGGGGTAACATGTAAAGTACTTACCTAGCACACACCTGGAATATAATAATCTCTGTATAAAGATTAATACCTTCCTCTTTTGCTTCATTATCCGCCATTTTTTACAGTGTATTAAATGACTGACTTACACAAAGCCTAGAGGATTTTGTTTTTGTTCTTAACAAATAAAGTGATTATTTACTTTTAGGGTTTTTTTAAAAGGGTATAAAATTCTCTATTTCAAGGGCATAAGTTTTCTCTTAAGAATACTTGATATTTATCATATATATTTATTTAATAAACTTACTTTACTTACAGAATTGTCTTCACTTTTTAAGTGATTAGAGTAAGTGAGGATTTACTGTTTTGAAATGAGCTATTAAAGAAATATAGTTTTTCAAATATGTTAAAAGAGAGAGTCATTTTTTAATCCTTACCCAAGGATATTTTCCCATTGATTTTCAGATACAGTGGGGAGGGAGGGAGGGAAAGAAACATGATGTGAGAGAGACACATCAATTGGTTGCCTCCTGCATGACCTCATCCAGGGCTGGGGATCAAATTGCAACCAAGGTATATGCCCTTGACTGGAATCGAACCCGTGACTCTTTGGTCCACGGGCTGATACTCTAACCATGGAGCAAAATGGGCCAGGGCAAGATAATCATATTTTAATGTATTATTGTATTTGACTTGTCTTTCTTAACTTTGCTCATTGATAAATACAGCTGAATACCAAGGGATCAGAAACATCAGGAGTAGTCACAGAGGAAGATGATGATGATGAAGAGGCTGCTCCTCCTGTTATTGCCCCACGACCAGATCATACAAAATCAGTGAGTGTCTTATCAGTGAATTGGGCTGTTTGTATCTGTGCATATGTGTTTTAAAAAGCCCTCACGCTTAAACTATTTCAAAACAGTTTTTTTGAAAATTAAAATCAAATGGCCTTGCCGGGCCGGTGTGCCTCCGTGGGTGAGCGATGACCCATGCACCAAGAGGTCACTGGTTTGGTTCCTGGTCAGGGCACATACCGGGGTTGTGGGCCCAATCGCTAGTGAGGGGCATGCAGGCCGTGCCAATTGATGTTTCTCTCTCTCTCCTAAAATCAATAAAGAAAAAAAAATCAAATGGCTTCTTTTAAAATATAGCCCTGGCCAGTTTGGCTCGGCGGTTAGAGCGTCAGCCTGCATACCGAAGAGTCATTGATTCGGTTCCTGTCTAGGACATGTACCTCAGTTGTGGTTGGGTCCCCCGGCCCTGGTCGGCATCGAGCTGGAGGCAGCCAGTTGATGTGTCTCTCTCACGTCGATCTCTCTCTCTCTCTCTCTTCCCCCCTTCCTTCCTCCCTTCCACTCTATCTGAAGATAAATGAAAAAGTGAGGATTTAAAAAAAAGTTAAATTACAAATACTTCTCATTTTTTTCTTTTTTATTGCATTTATAGGAGTGACATTAGTTAATAAAATGATATAATTTCAGGTGTACAATTCTGTAATAAATCATCTATATATTGTATTGTGTGTTCACCACCACAAGTCAAGTCTCCTTCCATCACCATTTTTCTCCCCCTTTACCACCTTCTACCTTCCCCCATTCTCCTTTCCCTCTGGTAATCACCATATTGTTGTCTGTGTTTTGAGGATTTTTTTGTTTTGTTTTGCTTAATCCCTTCACCTTTTTCACTCAGCCCTGCAGCCCCCCTCCCCACTTCTCATTGTTTTCTTTCTTTTTTTTATGTTTTTATTGACTTTTTTAGAGAGAGAAGAAGGGAGAGAGAGATAGAAACATAGACGGGATGCCTCCTGCACGTTCCCTACTCAGAATTGAAACCTGGACATCTTCCCTGACTGGGAATCGAACTGGGACCCCTCAGTTTTTGGGACGACACTCAATCCACTGAGCCACATCGGCTGAGCTGTTTTTTTATATTACACTTGCTGTTCCAGAGAATTCGTCTGTTTCTCTGGCTTTTTATCTCAATGCAGGTAACTCTTCTTACCCAAATTATGTATTTTATCTCCCCTTTTACATTTGTCTCAAAGCCTTGATGTCATTCAAGGGGCTGCTAAGAGTAAATTTCTGACCATATGTAAGATAATTTTAACAATTATGACCTTAGATAGAGATAGACAGAGTCTTGCCCATCTCCCTGTACTAATACAAGTAATGTAGGGGATGGTGCTGTTCAGTGGCCTGAGGGACTAGTGATACGCTCGGCAGGTAAAAAGCTCTGAGGCCTTCCATTGCATCTTGATCTATTGATAGAGGGCTCTATTTTCTTTATATCTAAGAACTGGCTGTTGGAAATGAAATGGTAGGAGTCATATTTGTGCAAAAATTTAGGGGAAATTAATAGTTATTTTAACATCAAGGTTTACATTTTTTTACTCTTTATTTCTCTCTCTTTTTTTTTTTTATCCTCACCCGAGGACATTTTTCCATTTTTTGTACAGATAGAGTGGGAGGGAGAGAGAGGAAGGAGAGAGAGAGAGAGAAAAACATCGACATGAAGGGACACATCGAGCGGCTGCCACCCGCACGACCAACCAGGGCCGGGGACAAACTGCAACCGAAGTACATGCCCTTAGCGGGAACAGAACCTGGGTCTCTCCGGACCGCAGGCCGACGCTCTAACCGCTGAGCCAAACTGGCCAGGGCTCTTTATTTCTCTTTTAAAACATGATTTTAAACTTCTTTTTACTTCATTACTAGCATATTTTAGATCTGGTTACATATAAATTTCATGCAAAGATCTAGTCTTTTGCTAGAAAGATTTAAAAGGTAGACATGATGCCCTGGCTGGTTTGGTCTAGCAGTTAGAGCATTGGCCTGCAGACCAAGGGGTCACAGATTCGATTCCAGGTCAGGGGCCGCTTATCTGAGTTGGTGTTGTGCAGGAATCAGTCAATCAGTGTGTCTCTACATCGCTATTTTCCTCTCTCTCCCTTCCTCTCTCCTTTCCACTCTCTCTTTTTTCCTTCTAAATTCTCACCCAAGAATATTTTTCCACTTATTTTCAGACAGGGAGGTGAGAGGGAGGTGGAAAGAGAGCAAAAGAGAAACATCCCTGTGAGAGAGACACATCGACTGGTTGCCTCCTGCTTGACCTCGACCGGGGCCGGGGACCAAACCTCAACCGAGGCATGTGCCCTTGACTGGAATTCAATCTGAGACTCTCTTTCTTTTTTTTACTTTATTGATTTTATATACTTTACTTGTTTTTAATCCTCACCCGAGGATATTTTTCCATTTATCTTTAAATAGAGTAGGAGGGAGAGAGAAACATTGGTGTGAGAGAGAGACATCGGCTGGTTGCAACCAGGGCCGGGGACAAACTGCAACCAAGGTACATTCCCTTGGTCAGAATTGAACTGGGGTCTCATTGGTCCGTGGGCCATGTTCTAACCACTGAGAAAACCAGCCAGGGCTCTTTATTGATTTTAGAGAGAGAGAGAGAAACATCGATGAGAGAGAACATTGATTGGCCACCTCCTGCATGCCCCACACGGGGGATTGGGCCCACAACCTGGGCATGTGCCCTCATCAAGAATCAAACCAGCGAACTCTTGGGACATGGGTTGATGCTCAACCACTGAGCAACATTGGCCAAAGCCCTTTCCACTCTCTCTTTGAAAACAAAACAAAAAAATCAGTGGAAAAAATATTCTTGGGTGAGAATTAACAAAAAATAAAAATAAAATAAAAGATAAACATGATGTGCCAGAGAAAAATGTCTCACATTTTCTTTTAACATACTTTTATTTATTTATTTATTTTTTAAATCTTTATTGTTGAATGTATTACAGATGTTCCTCAATTTTCCCTCATTGACCCCCTCTTCCCCATTCCCGCCCCCCTACTGCCTTTTCCCACACTATTGTCTGTGTCCATTGGTTATGGATTTAAGTTCTTTGGTTTATTTCTTCCCACCCCCCAACTCCTTTCCCTTTGAGGTTTGTCAGACTAGCAATGAATTTGTACTTCTTAATCCCTTCACCTTTTCATCCATTCCCCCAACCCTCCCATCTGGCAATCAACAAAATGTTCTCTGTATCTATGAGAATGTTTCTGTTCTGCCTGTTCATTTTGTTTGTAGATTCCATTGTCGATAGATATGTATTCATTGCCATTTTGTTTGTTCATATATTTTATCTTTTTCTTCAAAAAGACCCTTCATCATTTCATATAATAACGGTTTGGTGGTGATGAACTCCTTTAACTTTTTCTTGTCTGGAAAACTCTTTATATGGCCATCGATTCTAAATGACAGCTTTGCAGGATAGGGTAATCTTGGTTGTCGGTTCTTAACTTTTCATCACTCTGAGTATTTCTCGCCACTCCCTTCTGGCCTGCAAAGTTTCTTTTGAGAAATCAGTTGACAGCCTTATGGGAACTCCCTTGTAGGTAACTAACTGCTTTTCTCTTGCTGCTTTTAAGATTCTCTCTTTGTCTTGAACCTTTTGCATTTTGATGATGATGTGTCTTGGTGTGGGCCTCTTGGGGTTCATCTTGTTTGGTACTGTCTGTGCTTCCTGGACTTGTATGTCTGTTTCCTTCACCAAGTTAGGAAAGTTTTCTGTCATTATTGTTTCAAACAGGTTTTCGATTTCTTGTTCTCTCTCTTCTCCTTCTGGCACCCCCAAGATGCGAATGTTGGCACGCTTGAAGTTGTCCCAGAGGCTCCTTACACTATCCTCATTTTTTTGGATTCTTTTTTCTTTTTGCTGTTCTGATTGGGCATTTTTTGCTTTCTTTTATTCCAAATTGATGGTTTGCTTCTTGGATTTACGTACTCTACTATTGAAGCTGTGTAAATTATTCTTTATATCAGTTAGTGCCTCCTTCATTTCTGACTGTGCATCCATCATTTCTGACTGGTCCTCTTTTATGCTATTGAGACCCTCACTAAGTTCACTGAGGTTCTCACTAAGTTCATTGAGCATCCTTATAAGCAGTATTTTGAACTCAGCATCTGTTAGGTTGCTTATCTCCATTTCGCTTAGTTCTTTTCTTGGGGTTTTGTTCTGTTCTTTCATTTGGGACCTGTTTCTTTGTCTCCTCATTTTGGCTGCCTCCCTGTGTTTGTTTCTATGTATTACTTAACGAGAGGTATGGGGCTATCTGAGACCAGATGCTGCTTGTTTGAAAGAATTTAGGAAAAACCTGAAGTAGGATCCAAGACAGGCCAATCCTATGGTTAAGCAACTGGCAACAGCTTGGGTGGGCCCAAAAGTTGGGTGGGGCAGGGCCTCAGGGAATCACCAGGGCGGGGCTACCAGTGTGAGCCAGGTTGCTGGAGTGCCAGGTATGGCGACTGTCTGCCGCCCCAGGGCAGGGTTCACCAAAGGAATAAAGGCCTCTGACAGAAAGCCCCCTCTCCAGCCCTGCCTCCATTGCTGGACAGCTCAGTTCTTCCCTGTATGTCTCTGGTGCCCCTCGAGCTGCCTCCCCTCCAAGCTGAGAGGGAATGAGTTTGACAAGTCCGTGTGCGGGCCCTTTAAGAGGAGCTGCCTGGGGCTCCAGCCGCTTCAGCTTCCCTGAGCCTCAGTTCCCGCTGGTTTTCCAGCCAGAAGTTATGGGGACTTCTCTTCCTGGCACTGGAACCCTGAGCAGGACGTCTGGTGTCGGATGGAGACCCCTCAGTCCTCAGGGAGGACCCTCCCAGCTGAGGTGTCCTGATTTTTATCTGCCACACGTGGGTGTGGGACCAGCCCCTTGCGCCTCCGCCCCTCCTACCAGTCTTGATGTGGCTGCTGCTTTAATTCCGTAGTTGTAGGACTTCCATTCAGCTTGATTTCAGGCGGTTCTGAATGTTGGCTATTCTGTAGTTTAGTTGTAACTTTGATGTGGTTGTGGGAGGACGCGATACCGCGTTTTACCTACCCGCCATCTTGACCGGAAGCCTCATGTTTCACATTTATTATTCTTAGTTACAAGTCTTTTATAAGACAGGTCGGAAAATACTATTCTCAGTCTTTAGAACACTGGAGACAACTTAGTTTTGGTGAAAAACTCGAAGAACTGAATAGTGTATCAGGAAAAATACCTAAAAATGTTTTTCTTCAAATCTTAGTAATTAACTGTTTCTCCACAGATTTATACACGGTCTGTAATTGACCCTATTCCTGCACCAGTTGGCGATTCTAATGTTGATAGTGGTGCCAAGACTTCTGACAAACAGAAAAAGAAGACCAAAATGACAGATGAAGAGATTATGGAAAAATTAAGTATGTTTCCCACATTTTACTTTATTCTTAAATTGTTAACAGCTCTTGAAACATTTGTCCCAGATGGATTTTAATTTATACCCACTATTTTGGCTTCAGGCATAAAGAATAAATTGTTTTCTAGGAGCAGTAATTTCAATTACAATCTGGTGAAGCTCCTAAAATACTCTTCTTTGCTTATTTGTTATTATGTGTTGACTAGTGAGCAACCACTCTGCAATAGTCAGTACCTTGGGGAGCAACACTTTTCCCAAAGGGTCATAGTTGGAATCTATCAAACTATCAAAGGAGGTTTGTCTGTATGTATGCATACTTATACCTTCTTAGTACGAGAATACAAAATGACTATAAGTAATTAAATACAATAACCTTCCTGAATGGATGTATTTGTAGGCATAAAATGTGTTTTTTTTTTCATCCGTCAACCATAATTGGCCTAGATCAAGCATTGGAAATAATTTGCATAGTACCAGGGAGAAGGTAACATTAATGTCTGATCTACAAGTCTGCAGCAACTATAGTTATAAAAAACATCTACATGGAGGGATCAAGGAAAAAGTACTATAATTATAGTGGTTGTAGACTTGAGGTTGGGTACCTATATAAAATTGGAGTATTGTGTGAGTTTCCTTGCTGTGCTTCTGTCTCCTTTTACCTTGAGCAAATAAAAATTAATTGTGATTTTCTCATGTTTTTACTTACTAGTAATAAGAATATAAGTTACAGTTTTATGTCCAACAGCCTAGTTTTAAAAACCTGTTTCTTAGTTGTGACATTGTGAATGTTCCTAAAACAGATGTGTGATTCGTTCATATTCGAGTAGTTTTTACAGTAATAAGTGGTTTTCTAAATATTATTGTAAGATCAAAGATATATGGGAAGAGTCAGAAAAGCCACTTAGGGTTATTCATTTGGATATTATTTACATATTTAAGTTTCTTTAGTGTTTTATGTTTGAAACATTCAGTGTTTTTGTGACAGTGTTATGTTTGAAAATCACTATTCTATAATCAGTTGAGTTTATTAAAGGACTAATGATAACAGATTTAATTTACAATTTAAAAAATGCTTTATTGACCTTATAACTTTTTGTTGTTTTTGTTTAAAATAGGAACTATTGTGAGCATAGGTGACCCTAAGAAAAAATATACAAGATATGAAAAAATTGGGCAAGGGTAAGTATTTGTGACTGCATTAACACAATATTCAGTACTTACTAGGTATACAGCACGGTATCTCTTTTGCCTGCTGACATTGAGCACTTACAGTATTCTATGAGTGGTGTCCTTAGATTTGTATAAATAATGCATTTATTTCTAGATGCTATTTAAACACTCTACTACTTAGCAACGGCGACATTGTTTCTTTTCTTTTTTAAAATAATTTTAGAGAAAGGGGAAGAGAGAAACACAAACATCAATTTTTTGTTACGCTTATTTATGCATTGGTTGATTCTTGTATGGTACCTGACCTGGGATCAAATCCACAATTTTGGCATATTGGGACAACGTTCTAACTAACTGAACCACCTGACCAGGGCACGACTATACATTGTTTCTTCTTCAATGGTATTTCCCATTGGTGGTAAGAGATTAGATGGGTGGTAAAATTGCCCATCAAATATATTTAAAAGACTATAAGAACATTTACTACAAGATTATAGGCAGTAAAAACATACATTTTAATTACATCCATTGAATATTTATTTTTGTGTCTACTGAACTTCTGATTTTGTCCAATAGTTTGTATTTTTAAACTATATTAACTAAACTCATTTTCTGTTGAAGAGATGGCCATCTGGAATTATTAATGTTATTAATCTCTGGAAAATGTTCTGTGAATTCAGAGAGCTTGTTATTTTTTAAAGTTTCCTTATGAATTTCTTTCTTTACCAAAAAAAATGTTTTCACTGGTTTGTTTTTTTTTTTAGAGAGAGAGGAAGGGAGAGAGAGAGAGGAACATCGATGTGAGAGAGAAATATCCATGGTCTGACTCCTGCACACAGCCCCACTGAAGATCGAGCCCACAACCCAGTCATGTGCCCCAACCAGGAATCATCCTCGGACCTCTCAGTCCACGAGGTGACGCTCAATCCACTGAGCCTCACCAGTGCAGGCTTGAATTTTTTTTTTAAAACTAAATTTAATTGCAGCACTGGTTTTATTTTATTTTATTTTTCAGCACTTATTTTAATAACAGAAATTTGAGAATTATCTTAACATTCTTAAGCATGATAATGGATACATTGTAATATATTGAATAATATATGTAATAAAATAACTGAATGATCAAGAATCATATCTAACAAAAAGCAAGGGGGGAAAAAAAGAAAGAATAACATCTATGCATATGGATGACCATCCCAAATCCAGTGAATTAGAATAGAAAATTGCAGCCCAGACTGGTGTGGCTCAGTGTATAGAGCATAGGTTTGCTCACTAAAGAGTCTTGAGTTCGATTCCTGGTCAGTGGCACATACCTGGATTGTAGGGAGGCAACCAATCAATGTGTACCTCTCACATGGATGCTTTTTAAAGAAAAAAAAAGAAAATTGCAGAAAAAATACATGAAGTGAAAGTATTTATATGAAGTTTAAAAATTATGTTAAATATATTCTGTAGAGATACATGTCAAAGTCCTTTGTAGATAAAGTATAAAGAACTGCCTGGATCGGCCTGCAGACCAGAGAGTCCTGGGTTCGGTTCCCGCTAGGGGCCCATACCAAAAAAAAAGTAAAACAAAAAAGAACTCCATGAAACTGATGCATCAGATACTAAATGAACACCAAGTACAGATTACTTTTGGGAGGAAGGAGAATGCTTTTGGAAAGGGCACAAAAGAACCTTTAGATTTATTTGTAGTACTTTGATTTTAAGATGGGAAGTAGATCTATGAGTATATGTTGTTTTCATCCTTTCCTTTCTTTATCTTTTTCCTACATTTTTGTAGGTATGACATTTGTGTCAAATATCTAACATAAATTTTGGCCACAGAGATTGCCTCTTTTCTTATTTTTCCCCTGTTGATTTTGTTTTTACTCTTGTTAAAGATGTTAAGTCTTAAATGTTTAATTCTTTTTTAGGTGTTCTAAGTAGAAAGTCTTTGGATGTTATAAATGGTAGTGATTTAGAAACCTTAAATCTGGTTGTGTCTTTCCCCCCCCAGGGCTTCTGGTACAGTTTTTACTGCTACTGATGTGGCATTGGGACAGGAGGTAGGTACTTTTCATTTTCTGGGTTTTACCATTAACTTTTAGTATAGGAGGAAAGTAGATAAACCTGTGAATAATCAATACGAATCTCTTTTTCAATTGAATATGTTGGAAGAAATTATGTTATTTTCTATTCTACAAAATTTTATAGCACTTATTAACGGGAAAAAAGAAAAAAATAATGCCTTGTTTCATAAGTAAGCAAATATTTAAAAAATAATTTTCCCAACTTGGAGTAAAAAAATGAATTCATTCCTGGCACTGGGCTGACCTTGGGTTGGTTAATCAGCTTCCAGAGAAATCTAAGAATATTTGGGCTCTATGTATTACAAAGCATTGTGCATAGGCAGTGTGGAAATAAAAGTACTGCCTATTAGTAAATTATCATTTCATTATATAATATATATGATAAATTAAATTATTAATTGATTGGTATTTGTAATTTTGTATGAGAATTAAGAAACTTGTTCTCGTTATTTTTTAATTCTGTTTTTATCATAGGTTGCTATCAAACAGATTAATTTACAGAAACAGCCAAAGAAGGAATTGATCATTAATGAGATTCTGGTGATGAAAGAATTAAAGAATCCCAACATAGTTAACTTCTTGGACAGGTAAACATGAATATTTTTAAGCACTGGGACAAAAATGTAGAGATTTTAAATCTCATGGTTTTGGGGGGTAGTAGCCACTTTAGTTACACCGCAGTAGAATGTCAGTGCTAAAATGTAAGCTTGAAAGAGGAAGGAGAGGTAAAAATAGCACATTGCAGTTTAACAGGTCCTTTTTCTACATAGATGTCATTTGGCAAGTGAGAGAGGCAGTTAAATAAAGGACATTGCTGTTGATGCTCAAATTAATTACAAATGTTCATAAGCAGAAACATAAGGGAAGGTGATTCATATCTTGACTAACAGGTGACAGGCCACACAGTTTTTAGATAAATTTTTATTTCATATGCCTTCATGAGCAAATAGTATGTCTATCAAAACCTCATTTAATTCAGGAATTGATGTTTTAAAAAAATCTTACAACTATTGTATGTTTTTAAAAAGTAGTTATATATATGTGAATGAAAGAGTAATAGAAAACTAGTGAAAATTATAATAATGATTGTATCGGAGATAGAGGAATATAGGTGATTTTCTTTCTTTTTTTTTTTTTTATCCTTACTCGAGGACATTTTTCCTTTTTTTTTGTCCAGATAGAGTGGGAGGGAGAGAGAGAGAGAGAGAAACATCGACGTGAAAAGGACACATCGAGTGGTTGCCACGCACACAACCCAGCCAGGGCCGGGGACAAACTGCAACCGATGTACGTGCCCTTAGCGGGAACCGAACCCAGGTCTCTCAGGACCACAGGCCAACGCTCTAACCTCCAGCCAAACTGGCCAGGGCTGATTTTTTTATTTTCATATTTAAATTTGTTTTGATGACCCATTTTTAGACTTTAGCCCTAGTAATGGGAGCCACATTCATAGAAATAAATTTTCCAGATATATTTTAATATAGTATTTTAAGTCATGGTGGTTAAAAACCATAAGTTTTCTGAACCTGGTGAAGCAGAAGGCACCATCATGGAGTCAACATCCGCCGCAACAACGACCGAGAGGTTTGGTGCAAGGAGCCCAACAGCCAGAACATCTGCCTAAGGCTGTTGGTCAAGCCAGAGAGGTTTCTGGCTAGAAGAACCAACACCAACTTGAACCAAGTGGTGCAGAAAGGTTGTTCATGAGTCACACCAACCGGCCATCTTTGTCCCTTTCCTGGATGATCCAGAAGATGAAGCTTCCTGGCAGGGAGGGCAAAAGCGCTGTGATTGTAGGGACTATAACCAAAGACGTGCATATCCAAGAGGTACCCAAACTGAAGGTGTGAGCACTTTGTGAAAATAGCCGTCCCCTGAGCTGCATCCTCAAGGCCAGGGGCAAGATCCTCACTTTTGACCAGATGGCCCTGGACTCCCCCAAGTGCTGTGGCACCATGTTGCTTTCTGGTCCTTGAAAGCACTGAGAAGTGTGCAGGCATTTTGATAAGGCCCCAGGAACTCCTCACAGCCACATCAAACGCTATGTACAATCCAAGGGCCTGAGGTTCGAGCATGCAAGAGGCCAGTGGGCCGACCATGGCTACAAAAACTAACCACAGATCCTACCTTATTATTAAAAAGATTTTGGATGCTGGGGGTGTGGTGTGGTTATAAGCTTTGGAATCAGTTTATACTTGGCTTCAGATTCTGGTTCTATCATTTACTATCTATGTAACCTTAGATGAGTTACTTAACCTCTCCAAGCTTCTATCTGTTCACCTGTAAAAGAGGATGAATAAATCTATCTATGCAGTCAAGTTACAATCATGGGCAAACTTTAAAGTGACTCAAGAGCCCAGCCGATGTAGCTCAGTAATTGAGCATGGACCCATACACCAAGAGGTCGCTGGTTTGATTCCCTGTGGGGACATGCCTAGGTTGTGGGCCAAATTCCCAGTGGGTCATGCAGGAGGCGACCAGTTGATGTTCCCTCTCATCAATGTTTCTATCTCTCTCCCTCTCCTGTCCTCCCTTTCTAAAATCAATAAAGAAAAAAAAAATTAAAGTGATTCAGGAAAATCATAATGACCCTCAGTCATTTTTCTGTGCTTTTATATAGTAGCTTTTCAGTTGTCGTCCTAGCTCTCAAAGCTACTAGCTTTCTAGTTTTGTTATGAGGGTGCCTAAACTGAATTTTTCAACATAAGAGTGCTATGTGTTTAGAAAAAGTAAAAAATATGAGTGTATTTGTGTGTTTTTTTTTTAGTTACCTAGTGGGAGATGAATTGTTTGTAGTAATGGAATACCTTGCTGGGGGGTCACTTACTGATGTTGTAACAGAAACCTGCATGGATGAAGCACAGATTGCTGCTGTATGCAGAGAGGTGAGTTTGCTCCTATTTTGATAAGTTATGGTGATGTGTGGTGAGTAGAAGGTGAAAAAACAAAGTATTTTTGCACAGATATATTTTATTGTGTGAGAAACTTTCTCTGCACATTCTCTGCAAATTTTCTCCATACCATTTCATCCTATATCAGAGTTTTAGCTCTTTATGTGTAAGACAATTCTGGAATGAAGCATGGACCTTTGAAGAGCACAACTCACAGGTGAATTTTAGTGGGGTGATCATTAAAATGAATTATCCAAACAGGATGCTTTGAGAGTAAAAGCAGGAGCCATTAAAAATACACCAGTCGCCCTGGCCAAGTGGCTCAGTTGGTTGAAGTATTACCCCATGCACTGAAAGGTGGTGGTTTCAATTACTGGTCTGGGCACGTGTGAGAGGTGGTTGATCAGTGTTTCTCACTCAAATCTATATTTCTCTTCCTTCCTCTCTCTAAAAATCAATTAAAAAAAATATACCACTCAACAGTAGTGGAAACCAGCACTCCTTCAGGTAAAGCAGGACACATGTTCACCATTAAGTGTAATGTATCTGCTTCTGCCTTATTAATCTCATTGAAAGTGAAGAAACTGGTTGTTTCCTGATATGTATTAATGAATTACTAGACATACTGTTTGCTTTTAAATCATAAGTTCTGCCAAATTGCCTAAGTTGAAAAAGAAGCTTTCCTTCATCTATCTACCTTTTTCTACAGATGAGACTTAGGTTAATGATTTACTTGGTGTCATGAACTGTGATACTTCTGAATATCATAGGAATCATTGTCACAGAGGACAAAATTGTGAAAGTTCTTAAGCCCATTATGTTTTCTGTGGTTTGGCTTTCAGCATTTTTATAGTGATAAATAAGTGAATTAGAAAGTTTGTTCATGTAAGAATAGTACATATGATGTTTTCCTTTTCAACTTTTATTAAGGTGTTCAAAAATGTATTCTTTGAAATTTTTTAAGTGATTTTTTTTTAATCCTCACACAAGGATACGTTTAATTGGTTATTTAGAGAGAGAGAGAGAGAAAGACATCGATGTGCCAGATAAACATTGATTGATCAGTTGCCTCATACACATGTACTCCAGCTGGGGATCAAATCTGCAACCTAGGTATATGTCCTGACCAGGAATCGAACCTGCAACTGTTCAGTGTAGGGATGATGCTCCAATCAATGGAGCCACACCAGCCAGGGCTTCTTTGAAAATTTTAATTCTGATTTGATTGTTCTCCACCTGGGAGGGTGGGGCATAGGTTCTTTGGTGGTTTCAGTGGGGAAAGAAATCAGAATTTGTTAATGAATATGATAGTTTAATAACATATCTCTTAACAAAAATGTTAGTTACTTACAAGCTGATAAAAACTTCAGAATGTAGCCCTGGCTGGTTTGGCTCAGCAGTTAGAGCATCAGCCTGCGGTCCAGAAAGACCCGGGTTCAGTTCCCGCTGAGGTCACATACCTTGGTTGCAGTTTGTCCCTGGCCCTGGTTGGGTCATGCGGGTGGTGACCACTCGATGTATCTCTTTCATGTTGATGTTTCTCTTTCTCTCTCTCTCTCTCTCCCTCTCCCTCTCCCCAGCCCCCTCCCCCTCCACTCTATCTGAACGAAAAATGGAAAAATGTCCTTGGGTGAGGATAAACAAAAAAACAAAAAAACTTCAGAATGTATCTGTTTATACTTAATTTGTTTTTCTAATAGTTTTTCATAACTCACATAAAAATTATTTTAGGAGTTCCTTTCACTGTGACAAGTATGTTTCTGTTTGTATGAGTATTTTTCTGGGAATTTGTTCTTTTCAAGAATCTGCTTAAATGCTTGGTAAATGTAATATAGTAATACACTTAGTTTATCTATTTTTTTCCTTGAATAAATAGTACAATATTTCACCCTGGCTGGTGTGGTTTGAGCCATCATCCCATACACCAGAAGGTTGCGGGTTTGATCCTCAATCATGGGTGCATATGGGAGGCAGGCAATCAATGTTTCATTCTCGAATCTATGTCTCTTTCGCTCTTTTTCTTTCTCTCTCTCTAAAATCAATAAAAGCATGTGTTTGGGTAAGGCTTAAAAAAAATAGTATAATACTTTCAATGAGATTTTTACTTTTTAAAAACTTATGTACAAAAAAAATTACACACAGACTTTTGTTGTTCTACTCTGGTGGAGGTAAGCAATGAAAACACAACTTTTTCCAAGTTTACAACTTATGCAGTTTATATTTAAAATTATAAGGACAAGCAGATTTTAAAAATCTAGTTTCATTCTTGTATTTAAGGAAGTGGGGGGGAGTTTTTCCTCACTTTGGACACAGTGCTTTCTGAAACATTAGCATCAGAAGAAAGTTATTCCTTTATCATTGGTGTCTAGGTTGTAGATAAAGCTTTATGTAAAGTCCACCATAGACAAAATGAAGAAAACATCTTCGATCACATTCATGAACAGCTAGATAGAACCAACCACCTAGGATCTTACCCACTTTTCATGGCACATTCATTAGACTTGAGTATCTGAGATTCATGTGGGAATAATTACAAGTTGATCCTTTACTGTTGAAATGATTTCTAAAGAGCCTTATGCATGTTTGTAAGTACTGTATACCTTGAGGCACTTAAACTTGAAAAGGCCTGGAAATCATATAGACCCACCCATACTTTTATAAATGAAAATATTGGACACAGAACGATAGGACTAGATAAGATGTCATTTAATATTGTCTCTAAGTAAGGCTGAGTGGGTGGGAGATGGGGGAATCTAATTAATTACAGTATCTTATATTTATCACTGCACATGAAAGAATGTCTTTTCATTGCAGTGTCTTCTGCTGGATACTGGAAGCAGTGCTCAGGCCATAAGTACCATATGTGAACCTTTCTTAGACTTTTCAGAGACTATTTCATTAATTGTTTTTTTTTCCTTCTGTTCAGTGTTTACAGGCATTGGAGTTTTTACATGCTAATCAAGTGATCCACAGAGACATCAAAAGTGACAATGTGCTTTTAGGGATGGAAGGATCAGTTAAACTTAGTGAGTAACAAATGAACAAATAACACTTATTTGTTTATTATAATTTTCTGTCTTTTGTTTAAGTAAAAACCTCATGCTATTAATATTTTTATGACTTAATATGTGGAGAGGGAGGAAGAATAGTGGTAAATAATATGGACTCTCAACTGGACAGCTTATGTTTGTTTATTTTTGTATCCTCCCCCAAGGACATTTTTGCATTTATCTTCAGATAGAGGGAGGGAGAGGGGGAGGAAGAGAGAGAGAGAGAAACATCCATGTGAGAGAGACACATGGAGTCGTTGCCACCCACACGACCCCAACCGGGGCCAGGGACAAACTGCAACCGAGGTACGTACCCTTAGCCAGAACCGAACCCAGGCCTCTCTGGTCTGCGGGCTGACGCTCTAATCGCTGAGCCAAACTGGCCAGGGCTGGACAGCTTGTATTTAAATAGCAGATCTGCTGTACTTGCTGAGTAATTTTAGATGAGTTACTTAATCTGTTTCTGTTTATTTTCTCATTTGTATGATATGGGAAATAATAGTATCTGTCTCAAAGAATTCTTCTGAGGATTAAAAATCTAGAACACTGAGGAACAGTGCCTAGAACTGTCATAATGTTGGTGCTATCTTCCAATGATAAACTTGGATTTGTCTCTGCCATCTTTTGGGTAGATTTTTGTCATGGTGTTCAGCTTTCATTGAATTTGACAGTGTGGCCTAATCATGTGAAGGCTGTATAACCCTGACCTCAGAAAGGACAAGGGAAGAAACCCTTATTAAACCTCTTTTCATAATTATCTTCTTTATCAGACATGGTTAGAGTCATTGGGAGAACTGGGGGATCACAGGTTCTTTTTCCTACTAGCTATAATGTCTGAGTTCCAACCTACTCTCTATAGGATTTGAGAACTTATTTAAAAAAAAAAACAAAAAAAAAACTTCTGCTGAGATTTCTACAACTATACAAAACTCAAGGCATTTCTTGGATTGAGAAACTAAATACTTTTTCTTCAGCTAGAATTTTGCTACTTTTTCAACATCTCCTTATGATACGCCCTCCAGAAGTTATTCATCCACAAGAAAAGGGGTCTAGGTTCTATTAGTTAGTCAAAATATAAAATTATTCATTTTAATCTTAGTGGGCAAGTTATAAAAATGGACAGTTTCATACATTTTTGGTGAGTACACATGTAAACTGAATTGGACGTTTTTGGATAATATTTAATCCTGGCTCTTCACTTACTAGATGAATAATCTTGGGTAAATTATCTAAAAATATATATGCCTAAATTTCCCCATTTATAAAATGAGAATAATAATAATATACCTGTCTAATAGAGTTATCATGAAGATTAGATATGCTGATTCTTATAAAGTCCTGGGAACAGTATGTGGTTTCTTATAAGCTCTCATTTTATCTATAAATAGTATTATTTGACCAAACAGTTGTTCTTTTAGGATTCACTCCTATAGAATTACTAAACATGCACAAGTACAAAGATATTCTCTCCAGCACTGTAAGGAAAAAACAAAATATATTAAATGTCTAGCAGTATGGGAATGGTTAAATAAATTACATTATTTAAAAAAAAATTTTTGTTTTTTTGTTATATTCTTTAATGCTGTGTAGTTATAATAATGAGGTAGTTCAATGTATTAATATGGAAAGACCTCTAAAAATAGTTTTAGAAAAACAGTTTACAAACTATCTTAATTAGATAGAATGAAGCAAATGGTTTGTAGATTCTATTTGTATGTAAATGCATAACAAAAAGTCTAAAGCTGGCAAACATAAATGGTAACAGTAGTTACATATGGAACAGAATGGATTTAACAGAGGATGGAAGGAAAAAATTTTAGATCCTCATCCTGACTTTGTCACTAAATTAACAGTATTGAACTAGGCATTCTGTTCCTCGGTTATTATAAAATGACGTGGTTGGAGTAATGCTGGTGAGCACCTTGTAGGTAAATATGCTCTTTTTCTAGACTCTGCTAAGTCAGATGTTTAGTCTTTTTTTTTTTTTTAATTATGTATAAATATTTTTAAAAATTATTTTATTTTTGTTGGATGTTTAGTCTTTTTTTTTTTTTTTTTTATCCTCACCCGAGGACATTTTTCCATTTTTTGTTCAGACAGAGTGGGAGGGGGGGAGAGGAAGAGAGAGAGAGAAGCATCTCAATGTGAAAGGGACACATCGAGTGGCTGCCACCCGCACGACCAACCAGGTCCGGGGACAAACTGCAACCGAGGTACATGCCCTTAGCGTGAACCGAACCCGGGTCTCTCCGGACCGCAGGCTGACACTCTAACCGCTGAGCCAAACTGGCCAGGGCGGATGTTTAGTCTTTAACTTCCGTTTATTTTCCTCAAAAGTAGTTAACATTTTCTGACCTTTGCCTGATTCACAGTGTTTGTTTTTGGTGTTCACCTTTGGTGACTTTTTCTTCTAGATCTTTTTCAACTTTATTAAAGTCTTCAGGATACAATTAACTTTTTTATTTGAATGTACTGGGGGTGACATTGGTAATAAAATTATATAGGTTTCAGGGGTACAATTCTATAATATATTATCTGTATATTGTATTGTGTGTTCACCACTCCAAATCAAATCTCCTTTCATCACCATTTATCCCCACTTTACCCTCTTCTACATCCCTCCTCCCCCTTTCCCTCTGGTTAGAATTAATAATTTAGAAGAAAAGACCTGATAATTTGCCCTCTGCTTTTTGGAAGTAAAAGTAAGAGTATGTAACATTATCATAATATTTATAAACCCAAATGGTTGACTATTAATATAATCTTAAAAATCAAGTGGCTGAGGCTCGGCTGGTGTGGCTCCGTGGTTGAGCGTCAACCCATGCACCAAAAGGTCACCGGTTCGATTCTCAGTCAGAGCATATGCCCAGGTTGTGGGCCTGATCCTAAGAGGGGGCATGCAGAAGGTGGCCAGTTGATGTTCTCTCTCATTGATGTTTCTATTTATCTCTCCCTCTTCCTTCCTCACTCTCTAAAATCAATAAAGAAAAATTATTTTTTTAAAAATCAAGTGGCTGAGTATTCAAATGTAATTGAGTCATCTAAAGTGAATTCTGATAAAACCATTCATGGACACCATTAACTCTAGATGTTTTGTTTTGTTTTGTTTTGTTTTATAGCTGACTTTGGTTTCTGTGCCCAGATCACTCCTGAGCAGAGCAAGCGAAGTACCATGGTTGGCACACCATACTGGATGGCACCAGAGGTGGTTACACGGAAAGCTTATGGCCCTAAGGTGGACATATGGTCTTTGGGTATCATGGCTATTGAGATGGTAGAAGGAGAACCGCCATACCTCAATGAAAATCCCTTGAGGGTAAGACAAGCACCAGCCTTATTTTAACTAGAATACTTTTCTTTAAAACATTTATGTAGTCCCTGCTTATGCCAGGCGCTGGCCTAAGAATTTAGGATGTACAGTTGATAAAATTTAGTTGTTTCCCCAACTCTGCATCTAAAATTCATATGCTTCTGGGTTGAGTTGAATATATTAGGTAAAGAGTTTGTAGATTTTTAATAAGTTGAATGCTTCTAATTTTGCACGTAAGTAAGAATTTCCTCACTTTTCTTCAGAGTTAAGAGTCCCTAGATATACCCTTCAGGTTATCAACTTTGAACCTTGGCCTCTGGTACCCCTAGGTTCAGAGAAGAGGAAAGCAAGATCACCTCTTGAGAAAGCTGTATAGATGGCAATGTTAAAAACCATATTCAAACAAAAGAGTGAGGGCCCTGAGATACAGATGAGGTCAGTAGACTTTAAACGATTAAATATTCAGTAGCTGAGGGTGGAGAGTTTTGGGATTTCCTTCCTTCCTCCCTTTGTTTCCTCCCCCCTTCCTTCTTGCCTTTGTTCCTTTATCTTTTTTCTTCTGCTTTTAAATTACCATATATGGCTCGATATCATACCTCTTCACAACTACAAAACGACTATAATAAAAAAGATGAACAATAAGTGTTGGTTAGAATGTGGGGAGATTGGAACCCTTATACTTTGCTAGTGGAAAGGGAAAATGGTACATGTAATGCTTTGAAAAACAATCTGACATTTCCTCTAAAACGTCTTTGGGGAATGTCTGGCCATATAAAGCCTGCGAAATCAATACCAGCTAACATACACCTCACCAAATTAGTCTGACCAAATATAGCAGGCTAGTTTTTAAGTTGATAATTTTGTATGGCCCTCACATGATGTTATAAATATCCAGATGGCCATTGGCAGAAAAAAAGTTCCCACCCCTGCTCTAAAAGTTAACATTGAGTTAACATGTAATCTAGCAATTCCCGTGCTAGGTATATACCCAAGAGAATTAAAAGCATAAGTCCCTGCAAAAACTTGTACACAAATGTTGATAGCAGCATTCTTAAGAGCCAAAAGGTAGAAACACCCAATTGTCTTATCACCTGATGAATGAATAAACAAAAGTGGTATATTCATACAGTGGAATATTTTTTAACCATAATAAAGGAATGAGGTATAGATACATATAACATTGAACCCTGAAAGCATTATGCTAAGTGAAAAAAGTCAAACACAAAAGATCGCATTTTGTATGATTCCATTTACATTCTATTCCTATTCATGGTAGTTGGGTTCTATAAAGTAGAAAACAGTGAATTAATGAATGCTGAACAATTGCTTCTAGGGGAATACAGGGTTATTGCAAGCCTCTGGTCACAACATTTTTGTCAACTGATTTACAACCTTGCTTTATGTGTGTTTCTGTTTAAAGACGCTCTATTTAACGTACATTGTTGATCGAGTAGTATTGAACTCACGGCCAAATAACTCATGCCTGAATGAAGCTTATCAAACACATGTATATTCTCCATAAGGCACATCAGAACCTTCTTGCACATAGGAACACTAGATAGCTCTTCAGCACTGTGTTTTTCACCTCTCTGCACATATCTATGATGATCACGGAAGCACTGAGAGTACTGATTTTGGGGGTTCAAGTAAATGTTAGTGGGTAGGTGGATTTGCATGTGTGGAATCTGCACATAATGAAGATTGACTGAATAGGTCTCATAGATTTTTGTGGAGACACGAGATTAGTGGTTTCTGGAGATTGAGGAGAGGAGGGAATGGGGAGTGGTTAATAATTTACATGGATATTATTTTTGGAGGGATAAAAATTCTCTGAAATTAGACAGTGGTAATAGTTGTCCAGCCTTGTGAATATAAGAAAATATTGAATTTTAAAAGGGTGATATTAAATTGCTATATATGACTAAAAACTTATTGCCAGAAATAACAAATAAAAATTTCTTTCCCAAATAAGTTGAATGTGTGTTATAAAATGGGCTCCAGAGGCCAAGGTAATGAGTATGTGTAGGAGTTACCCTATGTAGATGGCATGGATTTTAATTCTGTTTTTCCTGAATAATTTTTATCTTCTTGCAAAGATTCCAGTTCAAGTGAGCAATTGAAATGCTTTTATAGAGGTAATTAATTTTAGAACATTTTTTAGAACAATTTTTAAACCTTCTGGTTTTATTGATTTTCAGTGACTATTGATTCAAATATCTGTTCTGTGTTAGGCACTGTTCAAACACTGTTTAAAAGAACCAACACATTTTCTGACCTCATAAAAGGAGAAAAACAATAAGAATAATATGTAATATATTAAATGATGGTGGACTCTTTAAATACTGGTACTAGTAGGCAAGGAGTCAGGAGTGTTCATTGTCAAAAGAGTGCTTTGGGGAGAGCTTTACTATGTTGACATTTGAACAGGAGAGGTAAGAAAGTGATGAATACTCAGTTACCTAAGGAAAGAACATTCTACTCAGAAGGAGCAGCACATGCAAAGGCCTTAAAGCAGGAGCACTCCTAATATATTCAAAGATCATTGAGGATTCCAGGATAGTTACTATTCAGTGAACACTTAGCAGGAGATAAAAAAAAAAAAGGTAGGTAGTGAAGAAATGAGGCCAGGCTGTGTCATTCATTATTTGGCCTTTGAAAGGATTCTGGCTTCTACACAGGTAAGAGGAAGAAACCATGGGACAGTTTTGAGCAGAGAAATGAAATGGTTTTACTTACATTTAAACAGCGTCACTCTGGCCACTTTGTTGAAAAGAGACTTTCAAGGGAGCCAAAGGCAGAAGCAGAAAGGCCAGTTAGGAGGCTGTTGTAAAAATCCAGGCAAGAAATGATGGTAGTTTAGACTAGGAATGTATTAGTAGAGGTGGGAAAAGGTTGTTGGATTCTGGATGTATTTTAAAAGGAGAGCTTGTATGAGTGAGAGGGAAGGATGACCCCAAGAGGTGGGCCTAGGCAACTGAAATGATGAAGTTGAAGTTCACCTTACCTGAAATGAGAAGGGTGCAGGTAGAGTATGGGGGTGGGGTGGAGAGTGGCAGGTGGGAGATTAGGAGATAACATATTAACATGTTTTAGACATGTTAAGTTGAGATGCCTATTAAGACATTAAAGTGGATATGTTGAATAGTCTGTTGGCATCCAGGCTAGAGAGATAAAATTGAGGCTTTTTAAAGCTATGACACTATAGACAGGATCACCAGGTCCAGTGGGCACAGACAGACAATACAAGAGATTCTGCTTGCACCCTGAGGCATTCCATAGCTAAGAGTTGATGTGTTAGACTAGCAAAGGAGATTGAGAAGGAATGGCCAGAGAGGAAGATAAAACCAAATAAACATATACCCTAGAATCTACATCCAAACAGTGATGGAGATAATCAGCTTGTCAGAAACTACAGTTATGTCAAGTAATAGGAGAACTGAGACTTGACCACTGAAATTGACAATGTGGATGTAATTGGTGAAAACTTGGCAAATGGGAACTTCTGCTTCCTGTCCACATGGAATAACAGGAACCAGATTAACCCTCCTACGGGAATATATGAAACAGTGGTTTTCAAGACATTGGAGATCAGACTATGAAGAACAGTGACCTCTATCCTGCTTCAGGTTTTCCTAAATTCTTTCAAACAAGCAGCATCTGGTCTCAGATAGCCCCATACCTCTTGTTAAGTAATACACAGAAACAAACACAGGGAGGCAGCCAGAATGGGGAGACAAAGAAACAGGTCCCAAATGAAAGAACAGAACAAAACCTCAGGAAAAGAACTAAGTGAAATGGAGATAAGCAACCTCACAGATGCTGAGTTCAAAATACTGCTTATAAGGATGCTCAGTGAACTTAGTGAGAACCTCAGTGAACTTAGTGAGGGCCTCAAGAGCATAAAAAAGGACCAGTCAGAAATGAAGGAGGCACTAACTGAAATAAAGAATAATTTACACAGATTCATGCCCTGGCCGGTTTGGCTCAGTGGTTAGAATGTCGGCCTGCGGTCCAGAGAGACCCGGGTTCAGTTCCCGCTAAGGGCTTGTACTTTGGTTGCAGTTTGTCCCCGGCCCTGGTTGGGTCCTGTGGGTGGCAGCCACTTGATGTGCACCTTTCACATCGACGTTTCTCTCTTCCTCTCTCTTCCTCCTGCTCTGTCTGAATAAAAAATGGAAAAATGTCCTCGGGTGAGGATAAAAAAAAAAGAATAATTTACACAGATTCAATAGTAGAGTAGGTAAAGCCAAGAAACAAACCATCGATTTGGAATCTAAGGAAGCAAAACACACCCAATCAGAACAGCAAAAAGAGAAAAGAATCCAAAAAATGAGGAGAGTGTAAGGAGCCTCTGGGACAACTTCAAGCGTGCCAACATTCGCATCTTGGGGGTGCCAGAAGGAGAAGAAAGAGAACAAGAAATTGAAAACCTGTTTGAAACAATAATGGCAGAAAACTTTCCTAACTTGGTGAAGGAAACAGACATACAAGTCCAGGAAGCATAGAGAGTCCCAAACAAGATGAACCCCAAGAGGCCCACACCAAGACACATCATCATCAAAATGCAAAAGGTTCAAGACAAAGAGAGAATCTTAAAAGCAGCAAGATAAAAGCAGTTAGTTACCTACAAGGGAGTTCCCATAAGGCTGTCAACTGATTTCTCAAAAGAAACTTTGCAGGCCAGAAGGGAGTGGCGAGAAATACTCAGAGTGATGAAAAGTAAGAACCGACAACCAAGATTACCCTATCCTGCAAAGCTGTCATTTAGAATCGATGGCCATATAAAGAGTTTTCCAGACAAGAAAAAGTTAAAGGAGTTCATCACCACCAAACCGTTATTATATGAAATGATGAAGGGTCTTTTTGAAGAAAAAGATAAAATATATGAATAAACAAAATGGCAATGAATACATATCTATCGACAATGGAATCTACAAACAAAATGAACAGGCAGAACAGAAACATTCTCGTAGATACAGAGAACATTTTGTTGGTTGCCAGATGGGAGGGGGGGTGGGGGAAATGGGTGAAAAAGGTGAAGAGATTAAGAAGTACAAATTCATTGCTAGACTGACAAACCTCAAAGGGAAGGGGGTTGGGGGGTGGGAAGAAATAAACTAAAGAACTTACATACATAACCAATGGACACAGACAACTGTGTGGGGAGAGGCGGGAGGAGGGTGGGAGTGAGGAGAAGGGGGTCAATGGGGGGAAAATTACGAACATCTGTAATACATTCAACAATAAAGAGAAAAAAAAGAACAGTGATGTCTAAAGGCAGGGAAGGCATGAGGTGAGCCCTATGATTGCCCCAGCTTAATGTCTTAAGAGTGTCCCCAGGCCATGCACAAGGAGGGAGGATTCAGATGGGGTACAGGGACTCCTTGAGTTGAGGTTATGGAGGTGAGAGTCTGGGGAAACCAAGGCAGCTGTAGTTCACAAGGCGCAGAGTATAGGATAGGAGAAACCTTCACAAAGATAAGACTCTAGATTTGTGGAGATTTTTTCATTGAGCATTCAACAGAGATTAGCACACCTGTGTGTGAAGACTGCCTAGGGTCAGTGATATAACTATCTGCTAAGTTTGGAGAGAATGTTGCCTGGTCCTCGCGCAGAACTGGGAATAGTGTCTATTTCTGTCAGCAATAGAAAACCTTGCAATTCACAGGCTGTTGAGTAGAGGACTCAAAGAGGCTTGCCTCAGCTATAAGAAATAATTACCCCTAGATGAGAACTGAGACTTGACCACTGAAATTGATAATGTGGATGTGATTGGCGAAAACTTGGCCAAGGGGAACTTCTGCTTCTTGTCCAGATGGAATAACAGGGACCAGATTAACCCTCCTACTGGAATATATGAAACAATGGTTTTCAAGACATTAGAGATCAGACTATGAAGAACATGCTGCTGCAGTCTAACAAATCCTTTTTTTTTTTAATCCTCACCCGAGGACATTTTTTCGTTTTTTGTTCAGATAGAGTGGGAGGGAGAGAGAGTAAAAGAGAGAGAGAGAGAAAGAGAGAAACACCGACGTGCAAGGGACACATCGAGTGGCTGCCATCCACACGACCCAACTAGGGCCGGGGACAAACTGCAACTGAGGTACATGCCCTTAGCAGAAACCGAACCCGGGTCTCTCTGGACTGCAGGTCGATGCTGTAACCGCTGAACCAAACTGGCCAGGGCTCCTTTTTATTTTATTTTTTCCTGTTAATCCTCACCGAGGATGTTTTTCCATTGATTTTTATTTTTTTGGAGAGCGAGACAAAGAAACATCGATGTGTGAGAAAAACATCGATCAGCTACTTTCTGCACACCCTCTACCAGGGATTGAGCCCGAAACCTGGCATGTGCTATGACTGGGAATCGAACCGAGACCTCTCAGTCCATGTGATGACACTCAATCCACTTACCCATACTGGCCAGGCTCCATTGATCTTTAGATAGAGTGGGAGGGAGGTGGGAAGTGAGAGAGAAACATCAGTTTGAGAGAGACACATCAATTGATTGCCTCTCACACTACTGGGGATTGAACCTGAAACTCAGGTAAGTCCCCTTGACCCAGAATCAAACCGGAGACTTTCCAATCCACAGGCCAATGCTTAACAGCTAAGCCAAACCAGCCAGGGCATAACAAATTTTAATCTAAAAAATGTATTATGTCCCACTTAACAAATCTTAAAAACAAGATCCAAAGTTCCAAAGTAGCTGTGTCCCAGAAAAAAGCTCCAGAACATTTATAAGAATACAGATATATCCAGCACCCAAATATCCAAAGTTTATCAGTCAGGCAAAAGATCAAGGAAATTGCAGCCCATAATGAGGAGAAGAACTGACCCAAAAGTGATACAGATAAAAGAATTAGCATACCAAGGGCATTAAAACAATTTTTATTAACATCTTTCTAGATGTTAAGTAGAGACATTTGGAAGGTACTTTTTAAATTTACTGATTTTTTTTTTTTTAGAGAGAAAGATCAATTTGTTGTCCACATATATTTATGCATTCATCCATTGTTTTTGTATCTTCCTTGAGTGGGGATCAAACTGGCCACCTTGGCAAATGGGGACAACACTCTAACCAGCTGAGCTACCAAGCCTGGGCTGGAGGTACATTTTTTTTTTTAATTAAATTTACAGATACAAACTACAGTGCTTGATATTGGATTAATGACAGATTATACATTGCAGGAAAATGATTGATTTAATAATAATCATAGACATAGTAATAGAAACTATCTAAAGGAAACAGGGATAGAAATGATTTTTTTTTTTTTTATCCTCGACTTTTTTTGCATTTATCTTCAGATAGAGCCGGAAGGAGAGAGGGAGGAAGAAAGAGAGAGAGAAACATCAGTATGAGAGAGACACATCGACTGGTTGCCACCCACATGACCCCAACCGGGGCTGGGGACAACTGCAATCGAGGTACGTGCCCCTAGCGGGAACTGAATCCAGGCCTCTCCGGTCCGCTGGCTGAAGCTCTAACCGCTGAGCCAAACTGGCCAGGGCAGAAATGAATTTTTAATTAAAATGAAATAGTGCCCTCGCCTGTTTGGCTCAGCGGTTAGAGCATTGGCCTTCAGACCAGAGAGACCTGGGTTCAGTTCCCGCTAAGGGCATGTTACCTACATTTCATTTTGTCCCCGGCCCCAGTTGGGGTCATGGGGGTGGCAACCAGTCTATGTGCCTCTCCCACACTGATGTTTCTTTCTCTCATTTTTCCCTTCCTCTTTCCCTCCCACACTATCTTAAGATAAATGCAAAAATGTCCCCAGGTGAGGATAAAGAAAAAAGAAAAAAAAAGTGAATGTATAAATAGACAGTGGTACATCCATCCATACAATGGAAACCACAGAAAAGCTTAGTGAAAGAATCCAGTTTCAAAAGGCTACATAACACTGTATGGTTCCAACTATAGAGAGTGAAAAAGGTCAGTGGTTGCCAGGGGCATAAGGGTGTGGGGATGACAAATAAGGAACACAGGATTTTAAGGGTAGTGAAATTATTCTGTATGATACTGAATGGTGGTGGGTACATGACAATATGCATTTATCAAAACCTATAGCCTGTACAGTGCAAAGAGTGAATCCTAATGTATACTACAGACTTCTGTTTAATGAAAATGTATAAATAGCCCTGGCCAGTTTGGCTTAGCAATTAGAGTGTCAGCCCTCAGACTGAAGGGTCACTGTTTTGATTCCCAGTCAAGGGCACATACCTGGGTTACAGTTCAATCCCAGGTCCTGGTTGTTTTGGAGGCAGTCAGTTAATGTATCTCTATTACATTGATGTTTCTCTTACTTGTTCTCCCTCCCTCCCTTCCACTTAATCTAAAAAAAATCAATGGAAAAATATCCTCAAGTGAGGATAAAAAAATTAATACAAGGATTTTCCAAAGGGGATTGGCTAAATGAAACAGTCAATTCAGTCATTAAAATAATTTTCTAGATCTAATCTGTTATTAGTAATGATGAAGCTAGGGATATAGTTAGTTTTGGTTTTGGGTTTTTTTTTTTTTTTTAAGACTTTAAAAGCCGTTTTCAGCCCTGCCCGGTTTGGCTCAGCAATTAGAGCATCAACCCGCAGACCAATGAGTCGCGTGGTTGGTTCCAGTCAAGGGCACATACCTCGGTTGTGATTCGTCCCTGCTGTGGTTAGGCAGGCAGTCGATGTGTCCCTCTCACATCGATATTTCTCTCTCTCTTCCTTCCTTCCTCCCTCCCTCCCTCCCTCCCACTCTATCTGAAGATAAATAGAAAAATATCTTCAAGTGAGGATTAAAAAAATAAAAGCAGTTTTCAGTTCACAGCAAAATTGAGAGGAAGGTACACATTTCCTACATATCTCTCTTCCCCCACATGTGCATAGCCTCATTATCAACATCCTGCACCAGACCGTACATTTCTTTTTTGTTTATCATATTATTATTATTATTTAATTGATTTTAATGAAAGGATGGGAGAGAGGGAAAAAAAAATTAGTTGGTTCCCTACTATGCACGAGCCCCAACCTGGGATTGAACCTGCAACCTGGGTATCTTCCCTGACTGGGAGTCGAATCCACCACCTTTTTGTTTATAGGACAGTGCTCCAGCCAACTGAGCCACACCAGCCAGGGCGAGCTTATACTTCTTAACAATCAGTGAACCTACACTGACATACTGTTATCACCCGGAATCCATAGTTGACATTAGGGTTTATGCTTGGGGTGGTGTACATTCTGTGGGTTTGGACAAATGTATAATGAATAGCATGTGTTCATCATTATAGTATATAGAGTATTTTCACTGTCCTAAAAATCCTCTGTGCTCTTGTTTTTGGGTGGTTTTTTTTTTTTTTTTAAGGATTTCAATAAGCTATATTGTTTTAAAATGCAGTGTGACTTGAAAAAGGAGACTGGGTTACTATATATTAATGGTGGAATTGTGGTCATTTTCTTTCTACCCTTAGATATTATAGTTCTTTTATTAATATATGTTGCATTTATAACCTTCACCCCCCACCCACACACCAAAAAGAAAGATGAAGCTAATTTTTGAAAAAGAAATTAGTGAAATGATTTTTGACAAAGAAATTTCTAAAATAAAGAAAAAATGTTTAATTCAAATGGGTAGAAATAATACTAACCTCACTTTAGTATTTATGGTGATTGTCTTTACAGAAGTAAAAGATCCGTAACTTTATAAAGTGCTTTCTCATTTTGTTGAGTTAATACCGTAAGAATATGAAACATGTTTTCTTTTTTTTAGGCCTTGTACCTGATAGCAACTAATGGAACTCCAGAACTTCAGAACCCAGAGAAGCTTTCCCCAATATTTCGGGATTTCTTAAATCGATGTTTGGAGATGGATGTGGAAAAAAGGGGTTCAGCCAAAGAATTGTTACAGGTTAATTTGGAAATGATACTATTTTTGGAAAAAGTTGGCTTTTTTGAATGACAAACAAAGTTTATGTAGGGCTATTACATTTCACTGCTCATTCATCACCAGAAGCATGGCAGCTGCCACAGCTTAGGATTTCATTTGCTGGGACTAAAGTACCCATTATATTATAATAAGTATATAAGTATATAGTTTGCATATTATTAATTCTCAGACAAGTTCATTGCTGGCTTAAGTATCTGGGACATTTAACTGAGATTTTATAATATTAGAAAAACTAAAAAGACAGCTCTCAACTATAAAAGTGATATATTGGTTATGCTGATTTTATGCAGGTATTGAAATATGTGTTTATTAAATAGATTATGGTCCATTAAAATCTTTGGGGTTTTAATTGAAAGGAAATATTTAGCTTCTAAACTGGTGACATTCATACTTTTTTTTCTCCCGTCTCTGGCAGCATCCCTTCCTGAAACTGGCCAAACCATTATCTAGCTTGACACCACTGATCATGGCAGCTAAAGAAGCAATGAAGAGCAATCGTTAATATCATTGCCACAGCCTCGTATTCTTTTTCCATTTTCTAAAAGAAGTCTTTTAATATATGAAAATTATTACTCTTTTGGGGTTTAAGGAAATGGCCTGCATAACATGGAGGAAAAAAGCAAAGTACTACTTCCTGAAGACAACCAAGTGAAAATTGCAAAACAGAATGACAACTTTCTATTGAATCCTTTCTTTAGGGTCCAAAAGGAATTGTGGACTGAATCACTAGCCTTACTTCATTCAGCAGACTGCCTGTCAGGGCCATTTATCATGCTTGAGATTTGCATTTTATTTTGCTGACTTCATTGTATTAGATCCCATTCATTGTCCCTTTTGGGGTATTTTCAGTACTTGAATAGTAGATCTCAGTTTTTCAGAGTATATGTTTCATCTGCTAGTCTTCTTTCTCTTTGTAGCTTTTTTTTCCCTTGACTTGCTCCTTTTGAGTTGCTTTGAGAAGTTTTTCTTAGGCCTAAATTTGAGGCAAGTTTGATAAAAATTATGTAGCTCCTTATATTGGCAAAGGAGCTTAATGTGGTTTAACTTTGTATAGAAGTTAGAACCAGCTATTGTACATGTAATATTTTAGTTCAGAATTTGAAGTCGGGGGAGGGGTAAATGTGTGATTTTTACCTTTTTTAACAAATGTGGAAGTCAGTTTTAGAAATTTCATGGTAGTAAAGTATTTGGCATTTGTTACATGTATAGAGAGAAGACTAATCTATATTTATAACTAAATCATTGATTGAAACAGAAAAAGAATCCATTGACTATACATCTTTACAATTTTGTTTCCTTTTTGACTGTTTTCAGATTTGGCTTCAGGAACCAGTGATTTGTTCTTGTTCCAACTTTTGTTAGAGCCGCTACTTGCCCCTTCCCCTTTTCCCTTCATTTTGGAAATGAGTTTCTGTATATGTTGTAATTTTAGTTTGTATTTTAATTAACCCTCTCTCACCCTACTGCCCCCCCACATGGTAAATAATACAATAACCATTGAATTTTCAGAATTTAAAACTTAACTATTTTTCCATTTGAAGGAGAAAATATTTGGAGCCAGTAGAGACAAAGTGAGAGACTTGAACCTTAGTGAGCTCTAAAATAATCAGGTGAGATTATATTCATGAAAGAGAATTGTCAGTTACATAGAGATGCAGCTACTGACCAGTAAACTGTAGAGATTTGTCATAAACATTGTTCTCAACCCATTACCGACATTTTACTGTCTGAGAACTTAAGTAACAAAGGACTTCTTGATAAATTCATGGATCATTTGAGATGTTAAGTTACTGTAGATTTTTTTCAAATAAGTAAATAATATTCATGTAAAAAACTGGAGAAAGGAAAAAAAATGAAATGTGCTTCTTGATAGCAATACTTTTTTTAAAAAAAGATTTTAAAAGGTCTGTGACCTGTAGCATTAATTATTAGAGCGCTCTCTCTTCTCTTCTCCCCTCCCTGTCTCTTCCTGCCTCCTAGGTCTTTTTTTTTTTTTTTTTTTTTTTTGGCATTTGGATGCAGTATTGTCCCTTCTGGCATGCCAAGAGCCACATAAAAGAGAAAAATCTGTGGGTTGGTTCTGGAACATGTGAATGTTCCCACCATTCTCCTACTTAACTTCATACTTACTTGTCATCCTGTAACAGTACAAGTCATGAATAAAAATCATTTCAGTGTTTTGGAGTAAATTAGGGGGAACTAATATAGTTTTATTTCCTATTATTCCTATCATTTGTGTATAAGATATAGGTATAAAGATCGAAATGGCTGTTTTTTAATTAATAACACAAAGGTTTTCACAAAAATGATAAAATAGTTCATGAAACTTATGTAGAGCACTTAATGGTCTCTGTTTGATTTGATTCTTGATTTCATGTTTCTCTGGATTATATTGGCCTTCTATAGCTATTACTAAATTACAGAAACAAGCCGGGTTACTTCTGGTGGAAAGCTACATTGCCTCTTTGAATTCCAGATTTGAACAGTCTTTGTAAATAGTCTGAATGGATTATGATGAAGAAGATGCTACCCGTGAAAACCAACTAGATGATCAGACTATAATCATCATGACCACTCTAGACGGCACTTCCATATATGTCATAAAGACATATTCATTGAATACAGTGCCAATGCCCCATTTTTATTCCTATGACTCAACAAAGGTCTTTCCCCTTTAAAGAAGCAGTTTGGGATTTGTATTTACAACTTTTGATGGTTACCTACACGTCCATTGCTGGCAACGGACTTTGTCATTAAAACCTGACTCCTAGATTAAGGGAGCTACACTATGGTTTATTCTTTACTTACTTGGATAAACTAACTTGTAAGAGAAATATACTTTGGTAATTCTGAAATGTGTCATTTTTAAACAAAATAATCTTAAAAGCAATACGGAATTATGATTTATTAGTTAATTTTAAATTAAAATGTTTAGATCTTGTTGAAAGAAAAATTGTATCTGAATCAAGATTCATGTTTTCTAAAAACCTGCCTTTTGTATTCACCCTTTTTGTCATCACTTTAGAATGAAAATTCCTATTGAAATCTAAAAGTTACCTTAGTCCTCCTGTGTTATTAGGGCAGTATTACTATAGTACTTATTTATTATATTTTAGACTCTAGCAGTCTTAAAGTTTCTTTCTCTTACTTCTTTTGCTGCTTTCAGGGACAGTTAAAACTGGGAAACCATGAAAATATTGTGTTTTATTCTACTTATAATAGTAAACGAGATGAGTGATTGTGATAGCATCAGAAACCAAGGCTAACACAACTCTCTCTTCATGTGTTAAGTGCCTGGCACATAATATAAATTCTCTTCCCTTCCACATATAAATTTTAAGCTGTTTATCTAGTTACCACCTTTCTTAGACAAACCTGTGCCTTTAATAAGCAATTTAAAACTACCTATGAGTATTTCTTTTAGGGCTTACATAAACATGTTTGTTTAAATATACTGTATTCTAGCCAGAATAATTCTAGATCTGATCAAGCAATGACTATAGTTAGAAAAAAATGAGTGCTTAAGGAATTTGCATCAGTTTTTTAATCTAAAGGTTTTAAAATGTACTGAGATCAATATATCTAGTGAAATGTGAAAAAATCAATTCTATAATATAGCCAAAATCCAGATTAGTACTTATTTTGGGTTGTTTTTTTTGTTTGTTTGTTTTGTTTTTAATAATAGAATTTCATAGTAATATAAAATCATCTTGTCTATTGCTCCCACAACAGATATTTAAACAAAATCATTTTTTCCACAGTGCATGTATATGCATGTGCATAAGAGGAAAAAGTGTACACACACACACACACACACACACATACGCCTGTTTTTTTTTTTTTACTCAGCACATTTATTGACCACTTCAGTGAAGACACTGTGGTAGATGTTGTGAGAATTACAGAGAAGAAGCAAGCACGGCCTGGCCTGGCCTTGAGAGAACTGAAGTCTTTCTCATTCACCGTTCTGGAATGTTGCCAAATGAGAGGGAGAAAGAAATGTATGAAAATTTGTCAAGCAGATTTTTATTCTCTTAAGAAAAGCAGAGAATTATATATTTAGAATTGAACATTTTTGGTAGGAATGTGTTACCTTTTTTTTTTTTTTGGTAGATAGAAATGTAATTAAGTGAAAGCAGCTTTCTGTTTTGTCTTCAAATTCTATATTGACTTTTAATTTAATCCCATTTGATTATTTAATTGTTACATTGACATTAACTGCTGTATTTGATGACTTTGTTCAATAATTTTGTTCTTTCAGGGCTAGAAATAAACTTTTTTATGTTCATTTTTCCCTTTCCTAAACTTCTTTAAATTAGAATACCTTAAAAGAATAAGTGTAATAGGTTTTCAGAGCACATTCTAGTATTTTTAAGGGTAAATGTTTTTTCAAAGATGTTATTTTGAATGTATTACAAAGCCCAAATTAGAAAGGCTTCTAGAAATTAATGAGTAGTACACGTAAGCCTTCCCTCTTCTAAACCAGGTTCAGAGTATATTTCTTAGAAATGTTCTGCCTGTCAGACCCAAGGAAACTCTTCTGATCTTTTTGTTACCTCCAGTAAGTTGGCCTGAAAATCTAATGCTTGCCTAGCTGAAGTAATAAGAATCAAACTAGCATTTGTTTGTTAAATTCACCAAGAGAACTTTAAAAGTACAATACTTAAAGGCATCACTTCATTATATGCATTTAAGTTGGCATATTGGATATCCTGACATGGACAACAGCTGCAATATGGAGCCATTCACTATCAAAAACCAATATTATACATTGTTTTTAGAATGAAGTAGGAGGTATAGGCAATGACTACTTAAATATAATTGTTACATTGACAAGCTGTTTAATGCTGTTACCTTTGTATTTCTTTAATTATAGCAAATACTTAAAACTTTGCCTGTATGATTGATTTGAAAAGCACTATTTATATGAGCTGAAAGCATGCTTTACTATCATATTTGTGGCATTTTTTTTTATATTTAGGAAATTATTTTTTATGCTAAATTATTTAACAAGTTTTATTTTATGAAGAGCAGGAGAAGTAGAACAAGGAAGGGAAAGGTCTTTTTAGGCTTAGTTATTTTAGGTTTTTAACAAAGTAATGTACATAGATTAAAAAATAATATTAATCTGCCCTGGCTGGTGTGGCTCAGTTGGGTGCTGCCCAGTGCACCAAAAGGTTGCCAGCTCAATTCCTGGTCAGGGCATATTGCCTGGGTTTCAGGCTCGATCTCCGATAGGGGCATGCAGGAGACACCTGATTGATATTTCGCTCTCACATCGGTATTTCCCTCTACCTCTCCCTAAAAATCAATAGAAACATTAAAAATCTTTATTTTTTATTTATTTATTTTTTTTATCCTCACCCGAGGATATTTTTCCACTTTTTGTACAGATAGAGTGGGAGGGAGAGAGAGGAAGGGAGAGAGAGAGAGAAACATCGACGTGAAGGGACACATCGAGTGGCTGCCACCCGCACGACCAACCAGGGCCGGGGACAAACTGCAACCGAGGTACGTGCCCTTAGCGGGAACCGAACCCGGGTCTCTCCAGACCGCAGGCCGACGCTCTAACCGCTGAGCCAAACTGGCCAGGGCGAAACATTAAAAATCTTTAAAAAAAATTAATACTAATCTTAAAGGACTTGTAATAAACAGAGTGACTTCTCAGTTTTAAACTTCCCTACTGCCAAGTCCTGCTCCACAGAGGCATCTGTTTTTAACTTTGACCTGTTTTCAGCATGCATTAACCTTCACCTTTCTACATTATATACTTACATAGGTATTTCTTGATGTTTCTAATATTTACTTTTGTTATGACAGTTGAGAATTTGGGTGCTATCATATCATCCCAGTCTCCTATTTCTACTCCATTTAGTCTCCCAATTGAGAGAGATGGCACAAGTTACCTTGTGACTAGGAGTGTTGTTAACTTGAGTTGTTACCATTACATGTCATTGCTTTTACAACTCTGCGTTTCCTGTTAGTTTTCTTGTCTCTTAGTTTCCTTTGAAAATTTCTATGTTCCTATCACTAAATTTTCCCAAAATCACCACAAAATTACAAAAGCCTTCTGAAATGTATTTATTTTCTTTGCAGTCTCAGATAATGAACCTCCTTCTTTCCGGGTACTGCAGTCTGAACTGTTTCCAGGTCTACTGTCTGAACTGTTGCTCTCCAGGCCTTCTGCCCCTCCGGCATCTGAAATTCAATTTCACTTTTCTCCTTAGCTAGATCCTTTGTTTCCTGAACACCATATCTGATTGCTTGGTTCATTCCCTTTTTTTGGAGAAGAGCGTCTTTGACTAGCTTTCTAAAAGGGGATACATAGAGGTAAGATTTTTAAGAACTTACATGTCTGAAAATGTAGTAACTGATAGTTACTATAGGATTTTAGGTTGAAAATCATCTTCCTTGAAAGTTTTAAAGTCACTGCTTCACTGTCTTTTAACCTGCCATTTCTGATAACATCTTTGTATGGAACCCATTTTCCTGCTTTGAGAGATTTTGATCTGGAACTTTACCATAAAGTGCTTCGGTTAAGGTGTATATGTTTTAATTACCTTTGGGCATTTGGCAGACAGTCTTGGTCACAGACTCATTTTCTTCAGTTCTGGAAAATTCTTATATTATTTAATAATCACACACACCCCCATTATTTCTTTCTGGAATTGCAACATCAATCTGCTTTTTCCCCCCTAATTTTTAAAAATGTTTTTAAAAGAGAAAGATCAATGAGAGAAACATCAATCAGCAATGAGAGACATCAATCAGCTGCTTCCTGCATGCCCCCTGCTGGGGATTGAGCCCATAACCTGAGCATGTGCCCCAACCAGGAATTGAACTGGCAGCCTTTGGGTGCATGGCACAGTGCTCAACCAACTGAGCCACACCAGCCAGGGCAGTCTTCTGTTTTTCTAATCATTTTCTCTGGCTTTCCATCTCTTTGCCTTTTGTTTTTAATTTTCTGAGAGAATTTCCTTGACCTCTGATCCTTTTTTGAACATATGTCAAGTACCACATTTTTAATTTCTTTTTTTTTTTTTTAATCCTCACCCGAGGATATTTTTTCATTTTTTGTACAGATAGAGTGGGAGGGAGAGAGAGGAAGGGAGAGAGAGAGAGAAAAACATCGACGTGAAGGGACACATTGAGGCTGCCACCCGCACGACCAACCAGGGCCGGGGACAAACTGCAATCGAGGTACATGCCCTTAGCGGGAACCGAACCCGGGTCTCTCTGTACCGCAGGCCAACGCTCTAACCGCTGAGCCAAACTGGCCAGGGCCCACATTTTTAATTTCTAAAAGCTCCTTCTTGTTTTCTGATCTCCCTTTTTACAGCCTTCTGTTCTTATTTCATAAATTCAATATCTTTCCTGTGGTTTTAATTGCAAGAGTTATTTTCTTGGTCAGTTCAGGCTGCTGTAACAAGATATCATAGGCCAAGTAGTTTAATCAACAGAAATTTATTTCTCACACTTCCAGAGGCTCAGAAGTCCAAGGTCAAGATGCTGACTGTAGGTTTCATTCTGAAGCCTCTTGGTGTGTAGGCTGCCACCATCTTGCTGTGTGCTTAAGGTCCCCTTCTCTATATGTGCTCATCGGGAGAGAGCCATTTCTCTAATGTCTCTTAGAAGGACACTAACTCCTTGTGAGGCACCACCCTCGTAACCTCATCTAACTCTAATTACCACCCAAAGGCCCCATCTTCAAAGTCCAATCTAGGGATTACGACTTCAACATATAAATTTGGGGGATGCAAACATTCAAGTCATGATAGGTCATCTTTTCAAGGCTTTTGTTTGTTTTCAATCTTGAATTGTGTACTTTTTCTGGATTCTTTGATTTGTTTTTATTTTTTGTTTTTTCATGTATTGATATAACAGAACATATAATTACATCAGCTTCCCTTCAACACACAAGACATTTGATGATGATTATATCGGCCATTTCCTTTGGTTGGCAGGAGGCTCTTCCACTAAAGGCTCCCATGGTTTCCATTGTATCGTTTTTCTCACCAGACTTAGTTCATTTCCAGCCTGAAGAATCACCTCTTCTATTTGGCCACCTTGAAACTGGTTGTCTAGTTTTTTAACATCTGGTTCTGCTTTAACCATATCCAGCTTCTCACTTGTAATCTGTTCTGTATATCTTCTATATGCTGCATTTTTAGGGATTTGCTCAAGAACATCAAGAATTTTTGTGTACAATATTCTTAGCCTCTTGTGCGGACTCTCCCACACAGCCAACCCCACGAGGCCAGTAGTCTTCTTCAGCAGGCCCACCATGACAGCACCTCGCCGCGGAGGATGCCCGTTCAGACCCGCTGATTTGTTCTTAACTCTGCCTTTCACAAAGATTTTTTTTAAAGATGTCTGGTGAATATCTGCAGATTAAAGCTGTTTCTGTACTAACACTAGTTGAGCACTGTCTGGCACTGCACTGAACAAATACTAACTCATTTACACATTGATTTTTCTGTTCTCAGCTGCACTCCCGTTGCTATCTACTAGTCATTCGCTTTGCTCCTAGGGCTTTTTCCCCTCTCCCTCTTTCTCTAGGCTCTCTCTCATGACTCCCACCCAAATTCTTTATTCCACCATCTTAACACTTTCTTCTACCCTTTGCCAGAATTTTCTGGGTTTCTGTCTTCACCTTCTTTCTGTCTCGGTGGAAAATGTTCATCTCAGTGGCTAACCCCACCAAAGGTCTGTTCTCCATCTTTCACCACCCCCCATGTTTCAGGCCACTCTCACTTGTCCCAGCTCATCTGTCCCTCTTCTCTCTCTCAACCTCAACAAAACAAGCATGTTTTCCTATCTTCCTTTTAAAACAAACTTCCTTTGACTTCTTAACGAACTTCTGGAAAGAGGAAACCAGAATTACTGTTTTTCTCCATTAGCATATCTTATCTGTCCTCAACATGTCACTGAAACTACTCTTACCAACATCATCACCAATGACTACTGAATTTCCAGGAGATTTTAAACCATCAAAGAGATTACTCCCTCAGCTGTTAGCCAGTGTGCTCACAGGTGTTTTTGAGGATTCCTAAGGTTCTACTTGTTATGAGACTTCCTAGTGAAATAGAGGACATTTATTCCTGGCTTTTAAAAAAATCTTATGACCAGGCATTTATTTTGGGCTAAGGTCCAGAATATGATGTATCAGTTTGGTAAGCTTTTAGTAGGATTCTGTTTTCACCATTGAATATACAATATGCAAGCAGCTATTGGTGAACTTAGCAATTGGAGGGGAGGAGAGTGATGACAAAAAGGGCAATTTCTTTTATCTTTTTTTTTTAAATCCTCAAGGATATTCTCTTTATCTTCAGATCGGGGTGGGTGAGAGGGATCAATCGACTGGTTGCCTCCCACACTACCCCAACCAGGGCCAGGGGAAAACCGCAATCGAGGTATGTGCCCTTGACTGGAATCGAACCCACGACTCATTGGTCCACAGGACAACACTCTAATGATTAAGCCAAACCAGCCAGGGTAAAGGGGCAAGTTCGTAAAAATTTCTCCACAATTTGTAGTGTATGTTGAATAGCAGGTTTGCCTTCCTGATAATTTCGTTCAGTCTTAAAGTGTTTTCATTCCTTGAGCTTGTTAATGTGGGCACCCAAAGGAAAAAGGCTTATCTAGGAATGTGCTAAGTGGCAGAGAAAGCCAGTTCAGCCTTGAGAAAGATTTAAATTCTTTGTCAGAAATTAAGAGTTGATGAGTACATATGTCTTTATAAAGAGATTTTTATCACCTCAAAAATCCTGATAACTTTTACCTATACATCTTTTAGGGAAACAGACTAAAAATACTGTATTTCTAGCCCTGGCCGGTTTGACTCGGTGGTTGGAGCATCAGTCCGTGGACCAGAGAATCCCAGGTTCGGTTCCCGATAAGGGTACGTACCTCGGTTGCAGTTTGTCCCGGCCCTTGTTGGGGTCGTGTGGGTGGCGGCCACTCGCTGTGTCTCTCTCACATGAATGTTTGTTTCTTTTCCTCCCTCTCTCCCTCCTACTTTATCTGAAGATGAATGGAAAAAAAAATGTCCTCGGGTGAGGATAAAAAAAAATACTGTATTTCTAGAAAAGTATATTCAGTAAATAAGTGATATATAAATATCACTATTTATATATTCTTTATATATAAATTTGTAACCCAAGGATTGATTATTTTGAAAGGAACAACTCGTGGATATATAATTTCTGTTTTACTTATTAAGAAATACCTATCATATTACTTTATATCAATCAATCCCAGTTTGAGTCCTGTAGCAGGTGAAAATGTCTCGCTGTAGTTGTGTTGCCTTTTTTTAAACAATCAAAATGGAGTAACAATGTGACACATATTCCCATCTTTCATTCTTAGATCTGTAGATATACATGGCATCAGGAAAGCATCGTCAAAAATGTTTTTCTCTATTTCTTAATTACTTCACTTGCCTTCTCCTATATTGAAAAACAGAAACACACCATTTTCAGAAAATATATGATCTGAGCCATAAGGTTAAGGAATGTATAACAGTCCAATCTGATTCAGATTGCTTTATTGTCATTAAAATCTTTAAGGAGTTTTGTAATTGAAACTAGAAGCCGTTGTAATCACATTTAATATTTCTTACACTTTAGTAGGATACTTGAAGTTTTTCTGCTAATAACTTTGAAGAGCTTTCATTTTCAATAAACTATAAACACCTCAACCATAAGAATTTCTACAAGACACTGTCACTATTTTGATGTCACTCTTTTTCTTGGTGATATGAGAAGTGTTAAAATGTTTGATCATTTCTCTTGTTTATCTATAGATCTTTTGGGGTATGTTCCAAGACTAAGGCGTCATTGAAAAATAAGTTTAGGCCATATACTGGGATGTATGCATCAGCCACTTTAACTTGCATTGTCAGCTAAGTAAATACTTTTCCACCTCCCTTCATCTATGCCTATTTTACTACTGATATACTCCATCGTGTGCCTGCTGTGTTCTGCTTTAGTGTTTTTGTTAATGACAAAGCACAGCTGACCTAAGGTATTATCTCAAGAAGTCTGAGTACTCGAGTACTTCTTGCACATTTCTTCACCAGTAAGCACTGCAAGACAAAGCTTTATTAAAGCTTTTTTTTTTTTTGGCTTAATTCGATCATATAGTCAATTTCAACCTGGGAATTTCTTCTAAATAGTAGGGTGTATAATTGAAATTTTTGCTGCCAGTGAGAGGACCAGTTATGCTCTTAGTAACTGTACTATTCAATAGAATGTACTAAAACTTGTTACTGTGAACTGGTTTTTTTTTTTTGTTTCTCTTGGGGTGGGGTGATAATAAAAGAGCCTACAACATAGGTTTGTTTTTTTATTTTTATTTTTTAGGGTCAAATGAATTAATGTCACAGAGAATGGTGCATAGCACATAGTAAGCATTTGATAAGTGTGATCTATCATTACTTACCTTTTTTTGTTTTGTTTACTGTATCCATTGGACAGTCCTTTATGATAATGTACTAGTAGAGGGAGAACTGAGAATGCTACACAGAGCTATTTGCCTTTTGTCCCCACCTCTCATCTTTTTTTTTTTTTTTTCCATTTTATCTTCAGGTAGAGTGGGAGGGAGGGGGACAGAGAGAGAAACATCGATGTGAGAGAGACACATTGATTAGTTGCCTCCCGCACAACCCGACTAGGGCTGGGGACCCAACCGCAACCGAGATACGTGCCCTTAACTGGAATCAAACCTGCAGGCCGGTGCTGTAACTGTTGAGTCAAACCGGCCAGGGCCCATCTTTTTAAAAATGTATGCATAGTTTATTTAAAAAAGAATATTGCAAATACTATACAAAGAAGGCCCCAATACATTCTAATTTGATAATGTGTTATGAAGTAGCATATTTTATTTTGTAATATTGCATATCATGCATAACTTGAAATATGAGACACTGCATTATAGTTGTGTGTGTGTGTTTTTTCTAATGTGGAACACTTCATGAACCCGTGTATCATCCTTGTACAGGGGCCACGATAATCTTCTCTCTATTGTTCCAACTTCAGTATACGTGCTGCTGAAGTGAGCAACATTATAGTTTAGATAGTCATTTCCCAGAAGGGGATTTAAAAAGAAAAACATACTTTGGGTATTGGTTTATATATTGTAGGGGTTGGCAAAAGTGGGTTTTAGTTGTAAATGAAGTTTATTCTTATATTATTGACTATTGTGTTATTTGTCTTTTTATTGTTATTATTTTGTATCATTTATCTTTTAGGTAATGGTGGCTGGTAATTTAACCAACGAAAGTGGATACTTAAACAATATCTACTTTTGCCCACCCCTGTATATTAAAAATAAGTTTAACTATAAGTAACAGGTACCCAAGAGAGACTGTAACCGAACGGGATTTTTTTAAGTTACACAAAAAAGAAGTCCAGTGTAGTCGATCTGGGGTTGTCATGGGCTCTGTTCATATTTTCATTCCATCATTCTTAGCATGTAAGCCTATATCTTTATGCCTGTTGCCACACAGATGCAAGATGGCTACAGCCTCATGTCCAAGTGTCAGGCAGGAAGAAGAGAGGATGATTAAAAAGCAAAGAGAAAAACAGGAAGCAGTAATGCCTACAATCAAGAAAGTACAGGTTTTCCCAGAAACCCTCAACTTCTATCCCGTTGGTCAGAATTGTCATTTGGTGCCTCCCCAGACAAAATCAGACTTGTTAGTAAAGAGGGCACTGGGTGTACAGTCTATTACAGTGACCACCATAGCTTGTATGTGAAAACTGCACAATCTCATTTTTTAATAGTTTTTCCTGTGTCTTACTCTGCTCAGGCTGTTATAAGATGCTATATACTGTGTGGCTATTAAACAACAGAAATTTATTTTTTACAGTACTGTATTGAAGCTGTGAAGGCCAAGATCAAGAAACTGGCAAGATTGCCTGCTTTCTGGCTCATACTTCTGGGTTCTCACATGGCAGGAGGGGCAAAGCTCTGTGGTACCTCTTTTATAAGGGCACCCTCTTGATCTAATCTCCCAAAGGCCCCTCCTCTTCATACTATCACATTGAGGCTTAGCTCTCAACATAGGAATATTGGAGGACACAAAAACCTCTATGGTATCCCCTAATATTTCTACAGGGCACTTTCACATCTGTTTTCTCCAGTACAGCATCACTGACAGGGATTAATTAATGTGCTCATTTTTAGATGGGAGGAAAAGGGCCAGAGGGGTTAAATAATTTTCTCAACATTACCTAGCTAGAATTTCAGCCCTTTTCATTATTCATCAAGTCTTCTGAGCTAACTGGAAACAACTTTCAGCCCTCTAGGTGATTTTGAAGGAATGTTTACATAGCTTATGAAAACAAATACAATTTAAATATAATTTTAGTGTTGCACACTTAGTAATCTATCAGTGGGAAGAGCTCACAGTACCTGCTATAAATACTTTTTAAAAATGTTTTTACTGAGTTTTTTGTTTTTGTTTTTTATCCTCACCCGAGGACATTTTTTGATATTTTGTTCAGATAGAGTGGGAGGGAGAGAGAGAGAGAGAAACATCGACATGAAAGGGACACATTGAGTAGTCGCCACCCACACGACCCAACCAGGGCCGGGGACAAACCGCAATCGAAGTACATGCCCTTAGCGGGAACCGAACCCGGGTCTCTCTGGACCACAGGCTGACGCTCTAACCACTGAGCCAAACCGGCCAGGGCTTTACTGAGTTTTTTAAGAGAGAAGAAGGGAGAGAGAGAGAGAAACATCAATGTGAGAGAAACATCAATCAGCTGCCTCCTGCATGCCCCCTACTGGGGATCAAGCCCATAACCCAGGCATATGCCCTGACTGGCAATGGAATCGGGACCTCTCAGTCTGTGGGACAACACTTAATCTACTGAGCCACACCGACCTGGTAACAATGAACTTTTATAGCACATATGTTACTGTTGTAATTAGCTAGTTATTAATAATAGGGAAGAGCAAAGAGAAGGCCACACATTATAGACATGGTCATTTGGGCAGCTTCGCCAGGAAGTTGCATTTATACACTCCCCAGGGAAACCATCTGTCTGTGCCCTGCAGATCACTGGGGGAAGAGACTGGACAAAGGGTGATGTAGGGAAGGTGCTTGCTGTCAGCCTAACCTGGAACAGAGATCATTGGCCAGAGTGGGTGGAGCCACTGCAAACCTATCAAAATTTGGGAATATATATAATCCCAAGACAAAAGAATTCTTGCTCTCTTGGCTCTTGTGGCTCTGTTGTTCCTCTGGTTTTGCTCTTGCCCATGTTTCTTCCGTAGCCATGTGTTCCTAGAATATACATGGCCCATGGCCATGTGGACCCCACATGCAATGGACTATATCTGGGAACATAAACCTAAACAGCCTGATGCTGGATTGGACTGTGCAGATATGGAACAGAAACTCTGGGCAATGGCTTTCATTCTAACTCAGCTTAAAGCAAAATGGGACTTTTTCCTTGGTCAGATGGAGGGAAATCAGATCTTGGAAACTCTGGAGTCTAATCCCATGCAAATAAACATCACTCATTCCCCTGTGGGAGTCTCAGAAAATTCCTTTTCTGGTGACATTGCAAGATCCCCACTTCCCCTGGGAACTGGTTGTATGTGGGAGAACAAAGTAACAATGAGGAGTTCTGTGGTCTTGTATTCTGATGGGAGATGGTACACGGAGGGGTCTGGCAAAAAGAGATTATTATTCTGACATTCCAAAGGTATGTTGTAGATGCAAAAAGACAATAGATAGGCTCAGTTAAGTTCAAGACTGACCTTTGTCAAAGGAAATACAGGCCTAGGCCATGACTACCTGCCATGACTTGTTTTTGGTTAGGAAGTTTTAATTTCAGACCATCCTATGTGGTTACTTTAGGTCTGTGAGTTTGCAAGGCTGCTCCACAGGCCTCCCCTGAGCTTGTCAGGTTTATTAAGTGGCCCCTTTTTCTTTTAAAAATTTTTATTTACTGATTTTAGAGGGAGAGGAAGGGAGAAGAGAGACAGAAAAATTAATTTGTTGTTCCACTTACCCATGTGTTCATTGATTGATTCTTGTATGTGTCCTTACAGGGTATGGAACGTGCACTGTTCTTTTTATCCAGATGACACTCTAAACTGAGCTACTTGGCCAGGGTGTGGCCCCTTTTCCATACCCTATTAAACTTTTATGTTTCTTTTTCTCCTGTTAACCTTTTATTACAGGGATGTCTTAGCCAAGAACCTAGAAAGGTAGAAGGAAAATTAGTTTTCTTCCTCTGTAGAGCAAAAAGCTATACTATGTACCTTAGGTGTATAGTAGGCTATACCATGTAGGTTTGTATAAGTGCACTCTGTGTTTGCACAATGTTGAAATCACAGATCATATCCCTGTTGTTAAGTGGCATATGACAGTATGTTAAACCTCAATAGCAACTACAACAATTGTTTAGAAGGAAGACTAAGGAAAGTTTTTGTTTGGCTATGAGTACTTTATTACTGACATTTAGAAATTGCTAACACATGATAATTAAAAGCAAACCACAGAAAAAAGGAGGGACATCTGTAATACTTTCAACAAAGATTTTTTTAAAAAGCAAACCACATTTAGTCAATTTTACTATTGTTTTGATCTTTTTTTCAATATGTTTTCTTTTAAATTTTTTTTTTTTCTTTACTGATTTTTAGAGAGAGGGAGAGAGAAATGTCAATGAGAGAGAACATCGATTGGCCACCTCCTTCATGCCCCCCACTGGGGATTTGGCCCACAGCCTGGGCATGTGCCCTGACCAGGAATCAAACCAGCTACCTCAACCCATCAGCCAGGCTAAATATGTCTTTATTGATTTTTTTAGAGAGAGGAAGGAAGAGAGGCATGGGTCGGGTTGTCGCTCAACCTCTGAGCCACACCAGCCAGGCCTGTTGCATTATATTATTTGTCACTTTCCCCACAATTAGGCTGAGGCCTTGCAAGAGAAAGACTACTCTATGTTTATATTCCAAAAATGTTCAGCCCTGGCTGGTGTGGCTCAGTTGGTTGGAGCACCAACCACACACTGACTCCATTCCAGGTCAGGGCACATACCCAGGTTAGGGTTTTGATCTCCCTGCCTCACTCCCAGGTGGGACACCCACCCGAGGCAGCCCATCAGTTTTCTCTCTCATATCCATGTTTTTCTCTCCCTCTCCCTTACTCTCTCTCTAAAATCAATAAAAAACATATCCTCGGTGAAGATTAAAAATGTTCAATGGGCACTCTCCCGGAGGGGAGCAAACCAGGGCCCTTCCTTTTCCTCGAGGCTTTCCCCCAGGTGCCTTACCTTTGGCCCCTTTTGCCTCTGTAACTTGTTTTCTGGGCCCCTTTCTTCTACAGCTCTTCTGCCTCTGTGACTTTCTAAATTTTCTCATCATTTGAAAAAAAGTTCAATAAATAATGCACGTATCAGGCTGATGTCACTTTTCCTCTCTCATCAGAAAGGAAGTAACAGATCTACTGCACAGACTTAGCGCTTGTAGGTCGGTCACTATTTGGTGCCCCGCTACCACAGTGAATAAATCCGGGCTTTGTCCTCCAGTGACAGTGTTCTCAGATGAGGAAAGGCCAGGCACAGATAAAGAGGCTCATTACGATATCGATGGATAAGGTCACCAAGAGAGAACCAGAGAAGAAAAGCTTGGGCCAAAGCTTCCAGAAGCAGGAATGCGATCTTTCTCGCGTTTAGCAAAAGGAATTAGTGGAGGGAGGGACCACAGAGTAGTGGCGGTCGGCCCAACCCTTTTAAGGTAAAAATTTCAGATCCGGCTTAACAGAAGTCTCAAACATGCTTCGTGAAGACTGCAATTTCTAGATCACAGTTTCTACAAGTCCTCACGCATCCAGGAGGAGGCGCCGGGTGGGCCAGATGGCAGAGCAAGTGCTGACCCGCAAAGCGATGCGCTCCAGCCGAACGTCTGGAGGGCGGGGACGCACACGCCGCCGGAAGCGGAGGGAGGGCGGAGCCACGCCCTCAGCGCCGGGCGTCGCTAGCTCTCGCCCCCTCCCCTGCACGCGGCGGGGCTGGGGCGGAAGGGCACCGAAGGAGGTGAC